ACGCAGACGGTGGCATTGCGAAGGATCCATTTCCAGCAGGTTTCCCTGAGGACCGACGTAACATTCGAGAGACATAACTACAGCCTCTCTGATAGGGTCAATGGGAGGATTGGTGACCTGAGCAAAGAGCTGGCGGAAGTACTCGTAGAGGAGGCGAGGCTGTTGGGCAATACAGGCGAGAGGTGCATCATTACCCATAGAGCCCAAGGCTTCCTTGGAGTCCGCGGCCATAGGGCCAAGAATCAAACTGACCTGTTCAAATGAGTACCCGAATGCTCGGAGGCGAGGGTCATTCTGAATTGTATTATTATCCAAGGTAAAAGAAAGATCAACGTTGGAGTCAAGTAACATCTCATTGATGGCGGGGAGCTTCAAAAGCCCCTTGTTCAACCAGCCTGCAAAGTCCTGGCGGCGGGCAACAGTCTGCTTGAGCTCAGCGTCATCAATGATCCGCCCAGCCACGGTATCAACCAGCAGCATCTTTCCAGGTTGTAAGCGGCCCTTTTGAACGACTCTCTCGGGGTCAATATCAATAGCACCGACCTCGGAAGCACAGACGATGCGATCGTCGTCCATTACGTAGAAACGGCAGGGACGGAGACCGTTACGGTCAAGGTTAGCACCGCAGTAGCGTCCATCGGAGAAAGTGAAAAGAGCCGGGCCATCCCAAGGCTCCATCTGACAGGCAGCCCACTCATAGAAAGCGGACTTGGCTGGATCCATGGCTGGATTGTCCTGCCAGGCCTCCGGAATCATAATCATCACTGCCTCTGGAAGAGACAGAACGCCGTTGATCATGAGTAGTTCAAGCACGTTATCGAATGCAGCTGAGTCGGAACCACCATCCTCAACAATGGGATACAGCTTGTCAAGCTCGTCACCGAAGACATCTGACCGCAGGACACCCTCTCGTGCGCGCATCCAGTTTTTATTTCCTCGCAAGGTGTTAATTTCACCGTTATGGGCGGCCCATCGTAAGGGCTGGGCACGATCCCAGGATGGGAATGTGTTTGTAGAGAACCGAGAGTGCACCAGGGCAAAGTGGCCCTCGTAGTCTACGTTCACTAAATCGTGGTAGTACGTGTACACTTGAACGGGAGAGAGTTGACCCTTGTAGACGATGTTCCGGTTGCTGAGAGAGCAAAGATAGAACCAGTTTCCAAGACCAATGACATGAGTGGCACGCTTTCGTAGAACGTATAGCTGAAGCTCAAAGGTTCTCTCATCAAACTTTTCAGTGTCAGTGATCTCCGGCTTGTTGCCTTCACCATATGCCGATTTCAGGACCACAAACGGTTGCATAATAATGGGCTCTCGAGATAGTGCAGCGGGACCAAGAATAGTTGAATCCCGTGGCACTTCACGCCATCCAAGAACGCGCAAGCCAAGTGTCATAGCCAGTTCCTCAAAACTCGCTATGGACTGCTTGAGGGCCTCCTCGTCGGGCTTGAAGAACAAGTTGCCGACAGCATATTGTCCCAACGGGGGAGATCAACGCCCACCTCACGGGAAAAGTTCTTAATGAAGAACTTGTGTGGAATACTGGTCATCACACCAGCACCGTCACCGTCCCGTGCGTCTGAGCCAACGGCGCCTCGGTGGGTCATATTGCACAACAGATTGCGGGCTATTCAATTGCTATCAGCCTTGTTCTGACATTATGATTTCAAAGAACAGCAAACTAGCACTCACCATCGCTAACAATCTTGTGGCTTGGCTTGCCCTTGATATGACTGGTTTGTCCGTCAGAATGGAGGTTCTCATGCCTCCAATTGGGAAGGAGCCAATCTTAAGAGGGGGTTCCACTCACGCTGCGAAGCCTACACCACAGGCATCCTTCTCATATTCAGGGTCGTACAGACCTTGCCGCTCTGGTAGAGCATTGGCCCAGCCATAACCCTTCTTGGGTTGGTACTGAGAATATTCATGAGGAGCCTGTTCTTCAATTATATCTTTACCATAGAGCTCCTCCAAGTTAAGACCCATTCTTCCGCCGAGGACCGACAGAGGATGGAATGGTAACTGAAGGGGATTGGTTCTAGGAAGTCCCCACCGATTTGGGGGTTGGTTATGTCGTCACAGGGTGTCGCAGTGCGGGTGAGGGAGGAACAAACGTGTGAATGGTCACCCAGCTTCTGCGAAAGAGTTGAAGATAGAAGAGGGGGGAAAGGCAGAAGGAGAACTAAAAGAATAAAAGGAGGGGGAGGGGAGAGAAGGGGGAAGGGGGGGGGGGGGAAAGGGCGATTACGGCGGGACAACAGGTCCGGGGATTGCAAGCCCTCCCCCGATGCACCCAAAAAGGGAAAATTACAATGGTGGGGAGTTTACCGTGGCAAATTGCTAGGTGAAAGCAGCCAAGAGAACGGCAAGGGGAGGTCCAAAGAAAGGAAATGTGGAAAGCTACAGCATAGAAACTGTGAACATCTCACACTTGACTAACTGATATTTGATATTTCCATATTATTTTGACCATATGGACTCTAAGTAGACACATAGACGGAAACAGCAGAAAGAAAAAAAAAAGTCATAATCATTATGATTACGGAGTGCAAATCATCTCAAGATAAGCATCAGTCAACCAATGAGAGTGAAGTATTTACAAAGGGTTAGCTCTTTACTACGTCAATTAACTTTAAGTACGGGGAGTACTAGATGTATACATATATAGTATTTACTCTTATATATCATCTTATATATAACATAGTATTCCATATACCTTATAATAACTACTATATAGGTATTATATATCTAGTTTACTTGGTCCAAAGCTCAGAGAAAACAAGGTCAGTGGGCCGGGCGGCCCCATAGGTCCATATGCCCCATAAAAGATCAGAGTTCATTCCATATATAAGTACTCCGTACTCCGTATACAATGGTTAGTTTATACTTAGGTATACTACAATGTATATTTTATATATTTTTATATCTATATATATATATATATATATATATACATAACTTGAATTCCTAAATAAGGCAATCCTCACATGTTGGAGACCCAAGTGAATGGGCGCACTTCCTAGTGGGGCGAAGATGCAGTGCTTAATCCAATATTTGGTAGCCGCTTTGCATTTAGTCTGCTTACCTTTCTCTCTGCAGGACCTGGAAAAAAAAAAAAGCACTAAATCAAAATCAAAAGTACCAATTTAAACTAGGTAAAGGATATCTTCAAATTCAAATTCAAAATCAAAAAAAAAAAAAAAAAAAACCATATTAGTATATGTAGTAAATTGTTAATTCGTTAATTGGACATGGAAATGCATAAATACATTGCCTGTATATTGTATGTTGTAACGGTAGTACTCCATGTTCCCATAACATTCCGACAACGGCCAACCTTGATAGTCCCCTGTTCCGGGTTTCCCCTCTCTATCACTTCTTGGCTATGTAGATGCATAGCCCGATTTCGGGCCCTTAGACCGTTTGCGGATTTGGCGGGTTTGGCCATTTTCCGTCTTCAAAAGGTACAAACTTTTTATCGTTCGGTCCAACCTGTTGACTGGCATTGTATTCACACTATAGGAATTCAGTTCTAATTGATTTGGGATGCCATTGAATTGCCATGTTTTCACCAACCTTTCTTTGTATTTTTATTTTTTAAAATATGCTTTACTATAACTCGAGTTAAATAGAGTCCGGAGGAAAGTGATCCGTCTAGACATAATATCTAGAGATAAGGTAGATGATGATAATAAGAATACATAACTCTCTGTCTAGGTATATCGTATACGTCCACGTCAGCGCCATTATTACAATATATATAAGGAGTATATGGAGTACACTACATATAAAGTATATATCATCGGGTAAAGCAGGACCATTATGCTATGCATCATTCGATTATACATCGCAACAAAGCAAAAGCCCCCCTACGGAGTACTCCGTATGCAATAAATAATATATGGTGGATATCACATGATCCCCGCCTTTGATGGGCCAATAAAAGCCAAGATGAAAGTAAGACCTCCAGGACTAGAAACGTCATGATTTCGAACCCCGACTTTTTCCGGGGTGTTTTTCTTGTCCACTTTTGGTTCACCGTTGAGACTTGACGTCGGGTGATTCCGGGTAACAAAAAAAATACCTTTTTGATATACATATTATCGTAGGTATTCGAAATAAAAAAGATACGTTGGCAAGAGTGGGGTTCGAACCCACGCAATGAAACATTAGTTGTGTGGTCACCAGAAGGAAACTTAAGACAACCCCCTTAGACCTCTCGGGCATCTTGCCTTTAACTAAAATTAGGCTAATTTTAGCTTCTTGATCCTAACATCACTTCCCTCTTACGGGAAATACATCTAGAAAATACCGAGCTCGCCTACTTCTGATGCTGAAAAGTGGTTTAGGTTAATCTGTTCTGGATTGATGCATATTCTGCATATGCAGCACCTGTGACTAAGGGTCTAGATTAGTATTATTAGGCCGTTGAAGTAGGCAAAAAGCATTGCTAATTAGTGGAAGCTACATTTTTTTCTTTGGGGAGACGAATTCGCAAAGGCCCTTAGATCCACATAGAGTGCTGTTTAAAGAAATGTTAATAGGAGATACTACATCACTACGTCTCAATTTGTTAGAGTGTCATATGGAGTACAATATTCCGTATAGAAGTACAAAGTATACAGGGTTGGCAGGTTCCCCGCATAGATGAATCGATTGGCTGTGGAGCTCCAGTCTTTTCTGCGCGCGCTTTCCCTCGTTGGACCTTATTATATCACATATATTATTTTTCTCGAGGTCTACGGAGTACAGTTGCTAATATCTTCCTTCCCTCCTTTCTTTCTTTTTCCTCCTTTCTAGGAGAATTCAAGTCCACACACGTCAATTTCTAGCACCAGTGGCCATTCCACTCGCCACACCATAAACAAATAGGTACTTGGGGTACGGCTACAAAGCGCGCCCTATCACCAAGTCGCAGGCCATCCCCACAAAGCTTCATAAACAGAAATCGGCAGAATATTCTAAAACCCAGTATTGAAACGACAACATTCGTTGCAGTGATGCTCACTCTTTCATCTATCACCCCGCGCGACGTAGGTGCTAGGCTCTGACAATCCAAGCCTTTCAAACAGGAAACTAACAACTCCATAGTCCCACGAACTTTGGTTTGGATCTTCCCAGCCATATCGCTCGACCTGTGATGAACAAGGTGGCGATAATTCCGCTGCCAACCACCTCGCCCGACGCAATGCCAGCGGTACGCTCAACAGTCATCGCTCATTCATGCCATCCCGCTCTTCTGCCAACACAATCGCCACATTAGCCGCAGAGGAACGATCGCTACGTACTCGAAAATTGAACATTGCGTCGTTCGGATACTCATGGATCAGACCAGCAGGATGTGCGAAAACAATGCTCGGCATGAAAGAGGAGCAAGCAGAGCGTGAAGAGGCGCTACAAGCTGCTGCAGCTGAGATGGAAGCTGCTGAGGGAGAGGGAATTATGGATGATGACACGGAGTTGCGGAGAGGAGAAGTAGAAGAGGACGAAGGCATGGAACGCGATTTGGATGACGACATTCCCGATGCGGAGGAGGAGGCCTCAGGTCTTATCGAGGAAGGCGAAGAAGGGCTTGAGGAAGATGATATTGGCAACGAAGGAGAATATATGGAGCGTGACTTGGATGATGACATCCCTGAAGGGTTTCCTGATGATGACTATGAGGGCTCAGCCCTGTATGATGACGATGACGATGATGAAGAGGATGACTTCAACAGCCAGCCTGATCTGGATGCGGAGATACCTGCCGCCGACAGTGATAATATGAGTGAAGGCATGACGCGCGATCTCGACGATGATATTATTGATGCTGCAGAGCAAGCCTCGGAGCAAGAAGGGGAATGGCAACACACAGACAGCGAGGAAGAGCTGAGTGACGAGGAAGACGAAAATGAACACAGCATCATTCAAACTAGGTTTGCCGAGAATTTCCGCACCAGCACGCCAAACAGCCGTGGTGGCTTGCCTCCACCCCCGACTCTGCCTCGCGAGCCCGAGACTGAAGCCCAGCGCCGTTTCCTTAATCGATGGAGTGGCGGTGGCGATGCGTTTGATACTAGCAGTATGCTTTACAGCGACGAAGACCTGCGCGCATCCATAACCAGTCAGGGAAGTCGACGAAGCGGGTTTGCGAGAAGGTACCCGCGGCACATCGGCGGGCCCAGGGATAGTCTGAACTAGATAGAGAGCCTATCCAAAATGATGCTATACCTTTCTTTTTTTTTTTTTTACTTCAATCTCCAATACGGCGTTTTGTGTCAGCGTGAAAAGATAGACCTCGGGGGTTTTGCCTAAGTTTTGAGGGCAGCCTATGATACCTCCTTATGAGATAAGATATTCTATAAGCAAATGCAATGAACATGACTTCAAACATGTTTTGAAGTAAGAATCCACAGACCCAGACAGTAAAGCTTAACCTGTACATGGTTCTTCTGCTAGAACAGTCCCTGTATATTGTTTTATGTGTATTTGTACAGTTTACTCAAACAACTCCCAATATCAAAGATAACCTAACCATCATCGAATCACATGGGAAAACTTTCCTGAATTATCTCTAGAGATGGATACCAGGCAGGTCCCCAACGTGCAGGCCCAATAAAGCAGTATATACCTGACATCTGAGCCAATGGCAAGAGTCTGCATATACATAGCTCGAAGAATCCATAGTACCAGAACACCCCCATAGCGCCAAAACCAAGATTCCCATGCCGAAGATACTGATAAGTCATGTGCGGGACTCGATCCATATAAAATCAAGTAAAAGAGCAAGTCGCTGGGCTTTGCGTGAAGACAAAGAGATCAAACGTGAAAAAGACGAGAAAGGCGGGCGTGGTCGACATGGTACAGAGCGCGAGTGCACATCCTAAGAGAGACATCAAGGGTATACGTTCAAAATATCCACACATAAAAGAACAGGAGGAAGACAGCGAAAAAGAAGCCGAGCCAGACTCGCCAGCCGACGCCGGTGCTCTCGGCCATGCGAAGCATACGGTTCATATTCCCGCGGAGTCGGACTCGGGTGTTATCGAATGAATCATTGAGGTCGGTAATGTGTGCAGTGTCTCGAATTTCATCGCCAATTGCAAGTGTGATCTAGATGGGGTTTCCTGTCAGCGGTTTGTTGTTTCAAGCAACCACCTGTTTTCGTTGGGTCTGGTTCCGAGGCTTCTTACGTCCTTCAACATTTTGACCTTGGCACTAATACCCTCAACTTCAGCATCATTTTGTGACTCAAGAGATGAGAGAACAGCATCGGAGTAATGTCCCCTATATAACAAGGCCTTAGTTAGCGATTATACATATATCGAAGAATGATGGGCAACCCCAAAAGATCATGAGCCACTCAACACACTTTTTATCGGGGGATGCACTCTGATATCCCGCTCCTGCTGCCCCGCTACTTGTGTAACCATTAGGGGCTGGACTGGAGTAGCCTCCATACCCGTATCCACCTGGTTGTTGGGCAGGCGATCTGCTGGCTTGGCGGGAGTCGCCACCGTATTGATCGAAGAGAGACGAAGAGGCACGGGGATCGCGTTGACGTGGAAATCTATGTAGATTATTGCTGCGTTAGCTGACTGAAAGGACACCCCCATAATGAACCAAGAGATCCATGGATTAATAGTGGAACCATACCGTGAAGCCATGACGGTCGCGGAATGTAGCTAGAGTTCGTGACGAAGGAAGATGAAAATAAATTGCAGATAGGTTATTCAACAGCAGTCGAGCATTTCGCAAGGGTATCCAAGGTGACTACTGTTCAAGTCAAGTCCTCGATGTTTGCGGATATAAAAGCATCAAGGTGGTCATAGCGTTATCATTCGCCGAATAGCACGTGATAGCCTAAGTACTGGAAATCGACACGCGAGACACACAGCAATTGTGGTTCGCGTGGCAATCTGTGTATTATCAATTTGGTCATTTATGATTGATTATGATGGGATACGATGCCCAAAACATTGCTACTTGTCCAAGCCATACCTGAAGACATCCATTGGGTTTACAAATTACATAATAATAGGCTGAACATCCGCCGACTGATAGTTAATCAATGGGTCAAGTGTACATTAACGATTGTTAGAAAAAGAACTTCGAAGAGATATTCATTGATTCATTGTCATCGCAGAATCGCGTGACATGTTATGGACACGCGCGAAGGGGCCAAAAAAAACCCCCCATCGTGTACCGATCTGTGGCGCCTATCGCGTATCGTTCAAAGCAATTCCATGCCACCCGGAAGTTTTGTATTCATCGAACTTAGTCGCGCATCTGATCATCATCGTTGGTTTGGTTCTCCTCACGGAGTTCGTATTCCTCGTCGTCATCCTCGTCATCCTCCATCTCATCGGTGGAGATCTTGGAGTAGTCAATGATCTTGCCGCGTGTGCGTCGACCACCCTGGATGATGTTGCTCTGGTCAATGGGGTCGTTGAGGTTGTCTTGTGTGTCATCCTCCTCCTCTGAGAACAGAAAGAGTCAGTATGGAGTTAATTGATGGTCGTGGCGCATGTGGTCATTCAGATATAGGTTGCTTGGGGGACAAGTGGGGGGTGGTACACACCATTTTCAGCCTAGTAACACGCAAAAAAGTCAGAATAAAAGAAGTATTTGGGTGTTAAAATTCCAGACTCACGATCTCATTCTCGCTCTCCGACTCGCTCTCCTCATCCATGCTCATATCTTGCGTGGGGTCAGCCTTGCCCTTGCCCTTGGCGAAGGCCTCCTCGTTGTTGTTAGAAGTAGTCGCCTGGTCAGCCATAATGAGGTTTATTTGGAGTGGATGGAGAATTGTAGGAAGGATGGTTGTTGGAAAGGGGGCAAGGGGAATTTAAAAGACGGTCTGCAAAGTAAGGTCTGTCCCCTCGAACCAAAACAACCTTTGAGGGTGAGATCCCGCTGCTTGATTGGCTGTCGCGGATGATCAAACCCCGTGACAAATCTTGCCCTGAGGCATCAAGGACAAGTACCAACTAACAAGAAAGTGGAAATGAATCTGAAAGAGCAAAGCAAATTATTGGCAATCACCTAAATAGCAAGCCAATTCTATCTAACTTGTTTATATGGGCAGTCAATGGCCATGGGCCATCAATAATATTACAACATACTGGAGCAGGTCTCTTGTTCTCTGCAATTGGGAAGTGCAAACAAATAACTGTGATATTAGAACTCACCATATCAGCTATTCTTCCTACTATTGAATATTGTTAAAGCAAATCAGCTGTCGAGAGCGAAGCATCTTTCTACAGATGTTGCGTTATTGCCCCATCATTTTGGCATCAAAATTTGCTTGCCTGCTCCGAAAAAGAAGAAGATGAGCAACATGTTGAGGTGAAATCCAGCATCAAATGCAGCGGCGAGCAGATAATTATATCATTTCCAGACCTCAGAATGATAGCGGAAAGCCCAATACATTACAACATATCCACCAATAATGGCAGACGTATCACCGGTACTGATGTTACCATAGAACATCGCTAGTCCTCCAAAAAAGATACTGACGTTCCACAAGTCGATTCGAAGTCGGAGGAAGAATCGGTGAAGACAGAAGAGGATAAGAGGAATTACTGCCCCTATAAGAAATGACTAGGTAAGCACAGCCATTTCTGCCTCAGCAAAAAGCCTCTTTGGACCAAGCACAGCGTACTGAACTCCCATGGTGTTGGAAGTCCGCAGGGACTGTCCTGTCCATTGATTCAGTGAATCCGTTTTTTTGTCAGTCAGATAATCTCCTTTGGTGTTCATGACCCAACGAATGACGGCATAGTTAATTGGAACACCCATGCAAGTGCCGAAGATTTGAGAGAAAAAAACTGCGCGAGGTGGAATGTGCATGTAATGGCCAATCTTTTGGTCCTGGAGCATATACTGAGCACGATACCAGGCATCACCCGCGATAGACCCATAGACAGAAGGGCCACAGGGGTGTTGGTGGGCCTCACCGGCTTTTGTATGGACCATGTAGCCGTACATGAGTTCGTTGAAAGAGCCAGTCTCAAGCTGGTAGTTGGAAATGGCGTAAAGCCAAACAAACGGGATGACCAGGACTGTAGCACTCGCAAGTGCCACAAACAAGGTCCAGATTGGGATAAAGAGATGCCCGAGTGCGAGGAATATAATCAGAATGACAAAGGCTACTAAGAATAGAGTGACATACCACCACCATGGAATCTCTTTGTACTGTCTCTGGATAACGCTAAGGCGATCGTGATACTGGTGATGAATGCCCTCATCTTTTATTGATTTCTCTGCTTTATGAGATGACCAAATTCTTTGGAGATTCTTAGAAACCTGTGTGTATCCGAAGGTCAGAATCCAGGTGATCGCTGCTGGAAGCTTAGCGTAGTCGAAAAATGTCGCCCATACATTTTGCAAACCCATATACATCCGCCCAGACTCCTCGTAAGCGGTCGTGTTCAGGTGATAGTTTGGGGTGAGTACGTCAAGGGTTGGGTAGGCTGTCCCATTAGCTAGGAAAAGGTTGTTTGACATGAGTCCATGCTTGAAGGAACCTAGATTCCCCAACTTCGCTGCAGGAAGTAGACAACAATTGAAAGCAAAAGCCAAGAACAAGATGACCTGCGTCCAGTATGGGGTCTTCATGATTGAGGATCCATTCCAGTTTACGTTTGACCAGTCCAACGAAAGATTGAGGAATCCCATGCCACCAATACCTGAGCTAATGAAGTTGGCCACCGGATTGCGAGGTGCCACCCAGCAGGGGAAGGCTAACGATGAGGTGAATGGAAAGACATACTCTGGAAGGAATTGCCACATGGTCATCCCTAGAAGTGCGAAGAAGAACACCTTCATCTGGCGCCTAGCGAGAGCCGACGAGTTATCTGTTTTGCTGAAAGTTTCAAACAATGTCGTCTGCATCAAAGCTTGGGGCCAGATGTATTCCGGGTCAGGTAAAAGGATCTGTCGTGCAAGAGCAGCAAAAGAGTAGCCAATCCATACGATTGAAAGCATAAAGAATATTGCAACCGCCGGATTGACTCGTGTACCATACCAAAGCTCTGCGAGGACGATGGGAGCATATCCCAAATTGTACGTAGCCCCAGAAGCTGCAGTCAACGTGACCAAGACATGTTCTTTGATGCTCCACGGGGCCGGATTCAGGTCAAAAGAAAAGCGAGTACCAGGCAGTCCAATCTTCCAGTCAGGAAGGACTCTGGCCATAAAGTGACCGGCATAGTGACATGCAATTTGAACAAAGAAGATAGAGTATGGGGCCTTGGTTGTGCGGAAGTTGCTCATCTGCGATCTGCGATAAAAAGGCTCCAGGGATAACAAAGATGACCGAGAGCACAAAGTAACGGAAGGTGATTGTTGGTAAGTTGGGGTCATCTGTCAAGTTGCGTCCCGTTTTAGCTGCGGTATCCTTAGAGGGAGGATTAGGACCAATTAAGCGCTTAGAATTACTCTAATATACCAAAAGATATCGATATCACGGAATCCAATTGGCTTATTTGATCAGATAAGATCAGATAAGTGGTGTTTGTATAGAAGCCCTATAGAGCGAGTAAAATACCCGGAACACTACCCAATCAGCCTAGTTTGTAGGGCTAATTCGCGTTGGTGATAAGATCAATCTGATAGTATAATCAAATATATAAGCCCTAAACAAATCATATAGCTAAGATATTGCTATCTTTGGTATTAGGATCTTATCAGATTTGATCTGAATCTGGATCCCTGCTTGCTGCTATATAATGGCCTTATCAACTGTATTAACAACAGTTAAAAGGTCTCTATTTACACTATGATTGCAGCTATTTTTGCAGCGTTTGATTGGTTGTAAATTTATCAGAGCGGTAAAGAGATAAAAGAAGGGGAGAGTAGTATTTATATACGTAGTAAACAATGGTTAGTTACTATAGGAGATTGATAGATAGATTGATAGTCATGTGACCTTTACCCTGTTTGTTCCGATGATAATTAATTATGTAATCACATGATTATATAACGTATTCGGTAAGCGAGCGGCGGACGCAAGCGAGTGGCGGACCCCAACCAATGCATTAATTTCAAATATAAATATGTCAACCAAAACTCCATTAAATTAAATACAGTGAAATCATCTAGCTAGCTAGGCATCTATTAATCTTATGTCCTATTTCTCCACAACCACTGCACTTTGGTGGGGCCCGCGTACGTGGTTGTAAAGCCGGCGAAGGGCTTCTTCGTAGAGGGGAGGGAGGTGCTTTAATTGCTTCCACCGGCTCAGTAATCAATTGAGAAGCTTCCTGTACTGAAAGGCCTGCTTCTGCCTGTATTTGCCTCCGGGATCTAGTACGCTTTTGCTTCTGCTTCTCGTTAGCGGCGCGTAATTCCTTATTTTCTTTGGCGAGTAAGATAGCACCTTGCATTGTAAGACGGAAGCCTTTCACAAGCTGGTTTAATGCACGATCTGACGGGCTAGGCGGGCTTCGAGACCTTGTACGAAGTAAGGCTTTAATTGATGAAGCCTGACGACGTAGTTCTTTCTCCGTAAAGGGGGTTTTTGGAGTAAAATTCCGGCTTGATTCACTACCCCGGCTAGCTGGGGGGGTTGGGGTTCGAAGTCGAATATTAAGCTTTGAAATCACTCGGTCGGGTGCAAATGGTATTAAACCAGCTGCTCCGAAGCTATTCTTAATAGTCTCCGATTTAAAAGCTTCAATTCGTGTAAGGGGGTATGCTTCGAGGAAGTCAAGTTTGTCAATATGATTGATCCCGTTCCGCATCTTGATTTCAACCATCCGACCATATATACGTTTTAATGCCGCAAAACAACCAATGTCCAGAGGTTGTAAAAGATGAGATGAATGCGCTGGTATACAGATTGGTATCACCTTATTTTGCTCGCAAATTGCGTCAAATTTAGGCGTTAAATGACTTCCGTGACCGTCGAGTATCAAAAGCCGATAGCTCCCCTTCGTACGTAAAGAAGTAGTCGGAATAAAGAGCTTTTCAAGCCAACGAAAGCTAATTTCATCAGAGGTCCAGCCATTAGGACTAACTTCGAAGCGCCAATCCCCCGGAAGGCCGTCGAACCATGATTCAATAAAGACTTTGCCTTTAAAAATCATACACGGAGGAAGGGCCCAGCCCGAAGCATTTATACACTCAATAGCAGTCACCCACTCTCGATTTCCAGGTTGTAAAAGTGAACGCCGACCATAGTATTCACTCCTCGTAATAACCTTTGCAGTTGCAGTCAATCCCATTGCAAAACCAGTCTCATCGAAGTTGTAAATATCATCGGGATCGATTCCAAATTGAAGAATCGTCTTTTGAACTAAATCAAACCACTCCCTAATGATTTTAGGGTCTTCGCATTTTGCACGTTCGTAATTGTACCGTTTCGAGAATCGGGAGGAGAGAAGAGGATGTCGTTTCACAAAGTTATATACCCATTTTTCGCCAACCGAAAGAACCGGGGTAGTTCCACGCTTTTGAAGAAGAAGATCCGCCATTTCTCGTACCATAGAGGGCCGGGGGGCTGCTCCACGAGAATCCATAGAGAGAATCCATTTTTGAAGAGACTCCTCTTCAATTTCCGTCAATTTAGAGGAATTTGCGCGACAAATCACGCGGCTCTGTACCCCCTTAAGGCGGCGGCGGAGGGTAGTTTCGGGCACACTAAAACGGCGCGCCACTTCACAAATTGAAGAGATTTCTTGATTTTTAAAGGCCTGGATAGCTAATAAAAGCCTGCCCTCTTGCTCTATTAAATTTGTAGAGGATTGAGAGCGAATTGGTGGCATAGTGGGTGGTTGAACTAACTAAGTGCTAATTCATGGACGCGTTTTGCGTGGGGTCCGCCACTCGCTTGCGTCCGCCGCTCGCTTACCGAATACGTTAATTGGGGTGCAAATGGAGATTTTTGGGGTGCAGGGATCAAAACCGGGTTTTGATACGCGCACCATCGATTTTACTACCCGCACCATTTTACATAAGCAAATTCTTAGATAATCAAAAAATTACGGGTATAATCGGATGAAAAATCATATAATTATCAACCTTATCTATCAATCTGATACATATATAATAGCAAACAACAATTATTTCCGCATTAAGCAACACAAATAACATCAAAACTTCCGCATCGGGTATCTCCTAAACGTATATCCAGTCTCTTCACACCCGGAACACCTGCTTAGCGCTTTCTGCTTCCTCTTTGGACTGCTTACCTTCCCAATTGGGTAGTTTTCTACCCGTTTCTACTGCTAGGGTATACTTGGTGGTAGAATTAGGTGCAATTGAGCTGGAACAGGCTTAATAAACCAGAATAGAGTGGTTTTATCCAATAAAATCGGCCGATTTGGTCTGATAAGATCAGGTAATTGATACTTAAAAGGAACCTTAGGCCTATGGAGGGAGTAAAAGAACCTGTACACTACGCGATTGGGCTAGTTTATAGGGCTAAATCATGCTGTTTGTGGATTAATATGATCACTTACTCCAGAATATATAGTCAAATAGTACTCCGTACTATATAAACAATTTTTATCTGCTATCTATCTTACAATCAGCCAAGTAAATTGATAGATGAGGTTGATAATCACATGACTTTTTATCCGATTATACCCGTGATTTCTTGATTATCTAAGGATTTGGTTATGTAAAATGGTGCGGGTAGTAAAATCGATGGTGCGCGTATCAAAACCCATCAAAACCCCCTTGGCTTGGGAGATTATATAATATTCCTACTTTCTGCCTGAGAAAAGCGGCATTTAAGAAGGCTCGCTCATATGGGAGTCAATGGTAGTAGTCTATATATAGAAGGTAGGATCCATGGATAGATATGGTTTACTACGTACTTTGTATGGATGACATCTATGAATGTTGTAGAATGTCATGAATGTCATGAAATGTCATGAAATGTCATGAATTCATCATGAATTCATCATGACGCATACATAATTATGGTTGGGTATGTTATGTGTACCACATAACCTTGGAACTCCAGTAAATAACCATACCATTACTATATGTAATGATACTTAAGGTCTCCCATGGCAACATGTATTAAAATACACAATTTAAATACTTTTACCATACTCTCCGCCTTAGTTAACTAAGAGTCATCCCACTATTACATCATACAGCCCCGCCATATAAAAAAAAAGATTAGAACAAAAAGAAACAAGTCGAATCAAAAAAAAAGACCAATTGACAGAAAAGAAAATACAAAAGTTAGAGATAATCAAGTAATTTGTATACTTCAAGACTCCACTGGTCTCATCTGGAACGTACTAGAGTCTTTTAAATGAAGGACGTAATGAAGTTGGGCCATCGAAGCTCGTGGAATCTCATGGATCCCAATGGAAAGAGCTCCCTCTAGAAGCTTCTGGAGCAATACACCGCTCACTATATAGGAGCTTTTCTCAGCTCTCGTCTCTCTTCTTCTTCTTCTTTTCTTCACTCACTTTCAAATACCCCCCTTTGTTACACTTTGTACACTACCTTGACCACGAATCTCTTTCTACAACCCTTAAAACTACCCCCCCTTTTTTTTTTAACTTTTTAACGACACACATTCACCATGGCTCCCGCCGTCGGTATTGATCTGGGAACCACCTACTCCTGTGTGGGTGTCTTCCGCGATGACCGCATTGAAATCATCGCCAACGACCAGGGTAACCGCACCACCCCCTCGTTCGTCGGTTTCACCGACACCGAGCGTCTCATCGGTGATGCCGCCAAGAATCAAGTCGCCATGAACCCCCACAACACTGTCTTTGATGCCAAGCGTCTCATTGGTCGTCGTTTCCAGGACGCTGAAGTCCAGGCCGATATGAAGCACTGGCCTTTCAAGATCGTTGAGAAGGCTACCAAGCCCGTCATCGAGATCGAGTTCAAGGGTGAGGCCAAGCAGTTCACCCCTGAGGAGATCTCCGCCATGATCCTCGTCAAGATGCGTGAGACCGCCGAGGCTTACCTCGGTGGTACTGTCAACAACGCTGTTATCACTGTTCCTGCCTACTTCAACGATTCTCAGCGTCAGGCTACCAAGGATGCCGGTCTCATTGCCGGTCTCAACGTTCTCCGTATCATCAACGAGCCCACTGCCGCTGCCATTGCCTACGGTCTTGACAAGAAGGTCGAGGGTGAGCGCAACGTTCTGATCTTCGATCTTGGTGGTGGTACTTTCGATGTTTCTCTCCTGACCATCGAGGAGGGTATCTTCGAGGTTAAGGCCACTGCTGGTGATACTCACTTGGGTGGTGAGGACTTCGACAACCGTCTGGTCAACCACTTCGTCAACGAGTTCAAGCGCAAGCACAAGAAGGACTTGACCACTAATGCCCGTGCTCTCCGTCGTCTCCGCACCGCTTGCGAACGTGCCAAGCGCACCCTCTCTTCCGCCGCCCAGACCTCTATCGAGATCGACTCTCTCTTCGAGGGTGTCGACTTTTACACCTCCATCACCCGTGCCCGTTTCGAGGAGCTCTGCCAGGACCTCTTCCGCGGTACCATGGAGCCCGTTGAGCGTGTCCTCCGTGACGCCAAGATCGACAAGTCCTCCGTTCACGAGATTGTCCTCGTCGGTGGTTCTACCCGTATCCCTAAGATCCAGAAGCTTGTCTCCGACTTCTTCAACAAGGACGCCAACAAGTCCATCAACCCCGATGAGGCCGTTGCCTACGGTGCCGCCGTCCAGGCCGCTATCCTGTCCGGTGACACTTCTTCCAAGTCCACCAACGAGATCCTGCTTCTCGATGTCGCTCCTCTTTCCCTCGGTATTGAGACCGCCGGTGGTGTCATGACTCCTTTGATTAAGCGCAACACCACTATCCCCACCAAGAAGTCCGAGACCTTCTCTACCTACTCTGACAACCAGCCCGGTGTCCTGATCCAGGTCTTCGAGGGTGAGCGTGCTCGCACCAAGGACAACAACCTCCTCGGAAAGTTCGAGCTCACTGGCATCCCCCCGCCCCCCGTGGTGTTCCCCAGGTTGAGGTCACCTTCGATGTTGATGCCAACGGTATCATGAACGTCTCCGCTCTCGAGAAGGGTACCGGAAAGTCCAACAAGATTACCATCACCAACGACAAGGGCCGTCTCTCCAAGGAGGAGATCGAGCGCATGCTTTCCGAGGCTGAGAAGTACAAGGAAGAGGACGAGCTTGAGTCTGCCCGCATCCAGGCCAAGAACGGCCTTGAGTCCTACGCATACTCCCTCAAGAACACACTCTCCGAGGGCAAGCTCCAGATCTCCGAGGATGACAAGAAGAAGGTCGAGGAGAAGATCAACGAGGTCATCGGCTGGCTCGATAGCAACCAGACTGCTGAGAAGGACGAGTATGAGTCCCAGCAGAAGGAGCTTGAGGCTGTTGCCAACCCCATCATCTCTGCTGCCTACGGCGGACAGGCTCCCCCTGGTGCCGGTGCCCCCGAGGGTGGTGCCCGCTCCGCTGACGAGGTCGAGGAGAACCCTGAGGAGCTTGACTAAACATTTTGCTTCCATTGATTCTTTTCTTGCCATTTGGCACTCGTTTCCTTTCACGTCTTGTTTTACGAACTTATGGGGTATCAAGGTTTCTTTTTGCGCATGATTGCATAGATGCAAAGTTATCTCTTTTTTTTTCTAGGAAAAAAAAAATTCCTATGAATCAAAATTTTTATTAATTCAAAAATAATCTTTCATATATTGTAAATCCCAGTAGACTCTTGAAGGACTACAGGATCGGAACCACCACCGTCTTAGTATAGATCCTTATCCATGACAAAGTGTTCACTAGGTAGTACTTCGGATGTGTAAAGTGTGACCATTCCATGCAATTAATTAGTTGACCAGTTCCTGTATATTAGATATGTACAAATAGAGTACATGATACAACAATCAATATATATATTATCTGCGAGAATCTCCCAGACTAAAACTCCAAATCGATGATGTATCGCAATGCCCCGTTCAGACACCCTGAAAGTCTCCGTTCCACCACCGTTGTAATCGATGCCCGCTCGTTTGTACGATGCTTCCATATGTGATTTCTGATGCGCGTTCAGGGTATTGTTCGCGCTGGTCACGGCGGATGCGAGTGAGGGCAGCAGAAACGCCCATGGTCAGGGCGAAGAGGGGATCCGCGATCCTATTCATATGGCGTTAGAATGATGGGTCTCTTGCCGGAGATAACCGCAAATGTTGGGGTCTATTTCTATACCTGGAAATAAGATAGAGAGGCATGATGCTTTGGATTTTGGAAAACAGTATGGTGGTTTTGGTCTATGAGATGCTTTTGGTCTATGAGATGCTTTTGTCCTACATCCCCACAGCCGGGAGAAGATATATCACGTGATGTGGACACTGCTTGCTGATCAGTTCATGGCCCTCCGTCTTCCGCAGCAACACATCTCCGCTATGCATTTCTCACTTTCCTATCTTCTCCTGCTAGGGATTGGCAGTCTAGCATCTGCCAGCTCTTTGACAATCACCATCCCCGCTTCTAGTCTCCTCCCAAACCCGCATGTCCTCCCCGCAACGAGCCATGCCACCCTCACCACTCTCCACTCTAGCGGAAAAGACCACATCCTCTCCGCATCGGTGACCCGCTCGGCGACATTTGTATTCCATGACCTCCAATCCTTGGGTCCGGATGCTCAGCCCGAGTCCTACTTGCTCGATATCCGTTCCGCTGGCGACTACGTCTTCGCCCCCTACCGTGTCGATGTTGCAGCCGATGGATCTATTCTCGGTATCTGGGAGACTTTCCGGGGGAACCCATGGGACAACCGCGGCGCGGAGAAATATATTGTGAATGTTGCTGGAAAGAAGCAGGTTGATGTGGTTGTCGAGGCTAAAGTACTTGGACGGAAGGTCTTCTATGAACAGCGTGCTCAATGTGAGCTTGCCCCTCTCTCTCCCCCCCGCAGACCTGGCTCGCAGTAAATGTCTATAGCTGTGCTAACATTCGATTGAATTGAACTGCAGTCTCTCCTTTGAGTCTTGTTAAGAATCCAATGGTCTTGCTTGCAGTTGTCGCGCTAGGTCTCATGTTTGTCATGCCCAAGCTCATGGATAACAGTATGTCTATCGCTTCAACCTCCCTTGACCCCTAATGAAATGTTGGATGCCTAACTCTGTTCTCTAGTGGATCCTGAGATGCGCGCCGAATTTGAGCAGCATTCCCGCTCCTCGCCCATCACTGGTGCCACTTCCAACGCCATGGCTGGTGGCGGGTTTGATCTGGCTAGCTGGATGGCGGGCACGGGTGCCCCTAACCCCACGGCCAACGATGCGGCTCGGGCTGGTTCAACTGGTAGAGATATCAGTGGCCCTGCCCGGAGGCGCGGATAGTAAGAAGATCATTGCTTTTTTTTTTTACATATATTGACTGCTCTTGACATGGTATATTGTCATTATCTCGTGGCTGATTGTATGTTACAAAGTTAATTGAAGCTGCTTATAGCTCATAAAGTTGGAGCTAAATGCCGATAAATGACTGGAGCTGTTTGGGCAAAAATCCTCCCAGATCCTCCCCGATGTCAAAGCGCCTAGAAGTCCCTCGAGCTGTACAGAGAGACCTATCCCTTGCCCCGAAGTTCATCCCAGTAAGAAACCAAAGAAGAAAAAAAAACAACGATCAAAGAAATTGAAACGCAAGTGAGCTTAGAGGTCATCAATCGCCACCATCATCACCACCGCCATAATCATCACCACCACCGCCGTAATCATCATCGTGATCATCATCCATGGCGTCAGCAATTAGCATACCACCAAGCAGACCACCGCCAACACCCAAGGCAGCAGCACCGGCAGTGCCCATACCTCCTCCACCTTGCCTGCGAGACGGTCGCTGCTGGTAATAGCCACCCTGCTGCGGGTATCCTCCATATCCACCTCCGTATCCCTGTCCGGGATGCCCATATCCAGGCTGGGGGCTATGCTGCGGGGGATAACCACCACCACCGTAGTATGCACCAGAAGGAGGACCTTGCTGAGCATATGAGGCGTACTGTTGCTGCTGCCGAGGCGGCCTACTGCTTGAGCTCGAGGTCTTGCCCAGCAGCTTACTCAAAAATCCACCCTTGCTGCGCTTCTGTTCCTGCTCAGGCATCGGGCTGGCTGGGCCCGCCACATATCCGCCTGGGCCGGTGGACTGCGGCCGCGAAACATCGTTGTAGTAGTCTGATGAGGTACCGCGATCTCCCGGTCCGGCTCCGGTTCCTCGTGTGCGGGCCTGGGCGTCTTCCTCGGCTTGGAGCTTGGCGGCAAGTCGTGCGTCCTCGTCGATCATGTGAGGGCTGGCGTTTCCTGGGCCAGTATTTGTTGAAGAATTATAGGGATTGTTTGAGCCCATGGGTTGTTTCTGGTCTCCCATACTAGCTATTGCAGCTGGGTCGCCAGGTCCAGCATTGCTGTATGATGGCGCATGATAATTGGGTGGAAGATTGCCGTCATCGCGCGGCGGAGGGACTTCGGGGCGGTCCCACTGCGATTTACCCGTGGCAAGGTCCACATAAAACCTGGTTGATTGTTAGTAGTCTAGTCTTTATTAAGATGGGTAAATACATACCAAGCGTGGTATCGATCGTCATACTGCGCTGTCCATCCCTCGGGTACTGAAGGTGGGGGAGGCCCGGAAGGCGGGGCGTACGACATGATGTGACAGGTATTAGCTTGATGCAAGGCTGAAAGCTTGATTTGTGGCAATGGCGTTGACTAAAGCTTCAAAAATTATGTCAAGGTTCAAGTTCAAAGAAGGATAAGAGAATAAGAGTGAGGTTAGAGAGAGTGTGAGTGTGTGAGAGAGAGAGAGAGAGGAGTTGGTTGTTCCATGGATATATACTTGGCGGGAATAAGCGGAGAATTGTGGCCTCAGGCATATTGACTGCGCCTCTCGAGGTCGGTGGCAGTGCCCCATGTCACCACACAAAGAACGGAGTATATATGTACTTTATATATGTATGTAGGTACAGTCCGGGGACCTCCGAAGTATTGGGCGGAATTTTGTACCGCTATATGTATGTAAAGCGGTATGCGAAGATATAATTTGCAAGTATCGTCCAATAGTAGTAGTATATCGTAGATCTACATCCAAGCATCTATACAGGCTACAACGTTCAATATTCCAGCCTATTCAGTCAGAATACTCTTATGAATGTACATACACGAGCATTATTAATAGCTCTTTCGCTGTAACGTGAATTTTTTTTTTTTTTTTAAAAAAAAAAACTCCTCTCCCCAAATCAAAACTACGCGCTCCAATGCTATGAAAAACACATTAATAGTACATCGAGAAAGGTGTCACATTAGACGATCTCCTTTTGGATATTAGGATCGATTTCTCCACTGGCAGGGAACCAGTTATCTTCTTCGAGAACCTCAAGTAGTTCTTCAAGGTCAAACCGATGTCGGGTTGACGTCTCCATCTCCGTATCAGAGTCGAGGAGGGTGAGGTCAACATCTTCTGTGTTGGTGATTATCTGGCGCGGGACCTTGCGGGCCTTCTTTTTGTTCCGAGATTTCTTTTTGGCCTTCTCTTCTCCATTATCTCCACGGTCTTTTCTCTCAGCTTGATTATCCTCCTGATTTGCCTCCCTTTTCACTTCTATTTTCTCGGCTTTTTTCTTCCTTTTCTTCTCGGGGCGGGAAGAGCCAAGGGAAGATACAGGGTGCTGGAAGATGAACGTAGAAGGGTCATCATGCTCCTGGCGTTTTCTCTTATGGAATCCTCGATTTCGTATTGCCGCAAGTTGTCTTTGCCTTTCGACCTCCCGTCGCTGATTCAAATCGAGCTCAGGCCGATCTTCTGGCGGCGGTCCGTCTAATTGTTGACATTGATATTTTTTGAGCAAAGGGAGTTGCCCAATTCGGTCCAAAGAAATGTCTTGTTTGACGTTTCGGGCCCACGAAGCGAAAGGGCCCGTGTAAGAGGGCCCTTGCCCCATACCAAATATCTCGTGTTTGACGACCTGACCAGATGAGACAAGCTGGTTTCCAGCAACAACACCACTATCACTAGGCTTTTCGGGTTCTGGGGCATGTTCGAACTGGAAAGTTGTTATGTTAGGGTCCGAGCAAGGCCCCGATGACAGCACATGCACACCTCCCCCAGAACCCCCGACCAAGAGATGAGACTGATCGTCGGTGAAGGCTGCGCACATGATTTCCTCATTGAAAGATGCGACATTCTCAATAAGGACATCTTCGGGTGACCGGCGAATATCCCATCGCTTGAGGACACCATCAGACGCACCGGTATAGAATTGGTCCATGGAGGAACCCCAAAGAGCTACCCTGACACCCACATCTGCTGTTTCCCGGCTTCGCTGGTGATCAATTGGGTTGAGGGGGGCCCTATGGCAAAGTTGATGGAGTATTCTATCACCCTTCCGATCGTCCCAAACATAGGTTTTACCATCTGTGCAACTAGCAGTAACATATGTGCCGCTAGAGCCCACTGGACAAAAACTAACCTCATTGACATCCAAAGCCGGACACGAGAATTCCATAACAGATGGCACACGCCTTTGGAGGTCACACTCGAGGCTAAATACCCTCACAATTGATTTCGTGGCAATGCCAATACCTTTGATCCGTGCGTTGTGAGGGTCTTCAGGACTAGCCGTGGCAAATCTGGGCAATGAAGAATGCCACTTAATGTCGAAGACATTTTGTGAGTTTGAAGCAATTCTGATGGTCTCAAATGCAGATTCGCGGGCTTGCCACAAACCTAAATGACCTTTGTATATCGGGTCCTCCCCTGGTTCGGCGAGGCCTCCGGCCAAGAATTTCTTAGTCGATGGAGTATGCCCCCAGGCCAGGGCTGTTGATGAAAACTCGAAGTTAGGCTTATATCGAGCATCGCGGTCGATGGGGAGAAGGGTCGATGTCAAGTTTTCTGGATCTTGTGTATCCCAGACCAGAATTGATTCTGTCCCTGTAGCCAACATATTTGGATAGAATTTCGAGACGGACATCACTGCCACTCGGGATTCGTGTTGCAAGGTATGCGTACAGGACACGCTGCGAATTGATTCGACGTCCCAGATCTTAACAGTTTTATCGAAACTAGCAGTGTAGAGTCGGTTGCCAATCCACTGCATATTATTGACGCTCATGAAAAGTCGTGGGTCATCCACTGTTGACGATGTCGGTCGTGGAATCCAATGATCCGGAATTTCCTTTAGAAGGTTGCTCTGAAGATCGCCTAAAAGAAGATTGTTGGCTTTGTTGTACTGCATATTATGTTCGTCTGATTTAGCTGCGGCGCCTGCCGCAAACTGAGTGCCATCAGGCGACCAAGCGAGAACAAGAAGATCACCCGAAGCGCCTTGCCATGATTTCCATGGTCTCAGATCAGATACCACATCAGTGACAATGGGCCGATGATTTCCGCCGCCAAACTCACGGCTGTACAACAGCTTTTGGACATTCGCACGGCGGGGCAAAACGCGATACGGCTCCTGCGGGGAAGACACCGTTGGAACTGGAATAACTTCGACATTTGTGCCTGGCTCTTCGGAATCAAGGCGAACATTAACCCAAGGATTGGCATAATAGTTGGTTGGTTTGACTCTATTTCGACTAGAGCGACGAATGTAACTTTGCTCGGCAGTCGGCGAAATTGAGCGCGAGGATTGAGGAGATCTGGGGACAGATGACATAGTATCCGGCGGGTAGGAGAAATCTTTTTTTGATATAGGAGAAACTATCTCATCGTTTCTGCTGGCAATTGAGATTGCCACACTCTCCCTAAGAGTCCGTTGACGCTCGCGATGACTGGGAGAGATGCCATGTGAGAAAGAGACAGAAACGGACGGAGGAGATGGAAGTCGGGAAGGAGCACGGGAGGAAGAGCGCGAAGAAGCGCGAGGAGAAATTCGGATTGGACTGCCAGAGGAAGGAGCGACGGACCGGGAAGGAGAAGCTCGAGTGACATGGCTACCACTTGATGAACGCATGAGTCGAGGTGATGTTTGCTGGACTTCAGTACGCGGAGTCTGCCAGGCATCTCGGGCCGCATAGCCAGATGTGGCCGGAGTTGACGGTTTCTCTGGCAGGGAAGAGCCTCCAGAATACTGCACTAGCAAACGCAGAGTCTCACGTTGAATATCCGGGTTTTCTGGGATGCTTCGGGCTGACAGACCAGGGAATGCAGGGACTATGCCTTGGCCGTTAATACTGGAAAATCCGTGAGACATTTTCCGAGCTAAAAGAAAGAAAAAAAAAGTCAGGTATGAATGCTGAAATGAAAAAGAGCCCTCTCACATGTTTGACTCAATTGGTATAAATTTGGGCTCGCTCACGTCTGGTGTCGGACGATTGCAAAGTGAGAAAGACATAACATCGGCCCCACTCTCACTTTGTTCACACCAAGCCTGGAGTTTCTGTTATTGCTTTCCAACCCGTCAATCCTTTAAGTATGATTCTGCTGCTTTCTTCGGCAGAACCCAGCCTACTTCTTTTGGATAGCTTTGCTATGAAAGGAATTGTTCTGGTATAGCCTTGACAGATCTGTTGGAACTGAATCCTAGGCAATACAGTTGTTCGAGAGATTGGGCCTGAGTTGGTAGGATGGACAATATCTGTAACGAGCACAGATCTTCCAAGCTAGGAGTATGAGGGTCACAAAGGCGATGTGACGATGGAGAGGCAAGCTCGAATCTATCATGCATTAGGAGTTTTGCCACCTAGATGGATCGAGAGAAGCATACCTGAAAGAAATAAGCGTAGAAGCTCAAGAAGAGTATGGGAGAGTGGGATCAATTCCAGGACTGAAAATTGCCTAGGCTACAGAAGATACAGGAGAAAGTGTGGAGAAATGGAGCAGAATCGCGTCAGGGACGCGATAACGCGGGTAAGAGTAGTGGTCGGCGGTAAGTAAGGCGGTCAGGTCTGAAGTATGGATTTTATATTGCTTTCCTTGATGAATGTAGACTTAATTATGTATGAAGATGTTGAAGTAATTTCAAGAAATAATTAAACTAAACATTTGCGAAGTACCTGGGTATCACTTTAAAAGAGCTCCCGAGCACTTTTCACGAAGTCACTTTTTATAGTGAGAAAGTGAAGCGAAGTCAACACGCCCATACGCACACTCGCATTCGAACAAGTATACATAATAGACATTGAAGGCCCGGATCTTGTCGTCCCAGAAATTGTGGCCATATAATTTGTCACATAGATCTGGTAGAGTGGGAAACATTTCCTGTCTATTTAGCGATGCGGCCCTTTCTACGGGCAGACACCGTCATATCATACAGCACATCCTTGAACGCAAAAAGGAATGCAGCAGTTATGGCGCTCTGGGTAACCTTAGGCCCAATGCCTTATTGAAAATATGTCAGTGAACAGCCACTGGGTATGACTTCCAAAAAAATGCTTACCTTTGTACAGTCCCTTCCAGCCCTCTTCTTGAATGATCCTCTTCAGACTTCCGTTCAAGCTCTCCTTGGGGCCATCCCTGCTTGCAACATGCGCTCGGCTCTTGATAGTGATATATGGGTAGGTGAGGCTGGTAGCCAAAATTTTGCCTAGTGCGCCCAAGTAGAACGCATCCTTCGGCGTCATGCGCCGACGACGTTCCACCATGTTTTTCAATTGCTCGAAAATAGTATATTGCAGAATTGGGTTGATCACCAGTACCAGCGCCGGGAGGACGCCGGCAAATAGGGCCTTGGGGCCCTCCTGCCGAAGCAGGTCCATTAGGGTGCTGATGGTGGATGCCTTTGTTTTCTTGGCACCAGGCAATGCCTCCTCCGCTTCAGACTTTCGGGCAGTCATACGAGTGTTGATGACCCAGATTGGGTTGGTGATCAGCACTGTGGCACTCCCTGCAATGGCGCCCGCAATCATAGACTCCACCGTTGTGAGCTTTTTCGAGGCTCGGCCTCCCTGGATAGCGGCCTTCTCAAAGGCGGAACGCGTGAATTCATACCAATAGTAATACACAAAATTGGTGACGCTGATTCCAAACAAGGCTGATTCTAGGCCAGAGTAAAGTCCCGAGATACCTTCTCTCTGTACAATGCGGCGTATAGCATCAAGGGTGGTTGAATGCGCACGCTTCGACTCGACTTGGGCTCTTGTCGACAGGGTGATCAGAGGGTATCTGGAGTGGGTATGGGGTTAACAGCAGCTATGGGGAAAACGCGGGGGGAAGCATACGTCAAGACCATCGACAGAACACCCCCTCCCGCACCCGCCAGCGCGTGTGCGATGTTATCACTCTGCTGAACAGCAGCAGATGCTGCCTTTCTCTGCTCGGCTCCAGATTGAGACATGATGGGAAGAGCTGGGTTATTGAACTGTGTTCAGGTGTAATGTGTAAAGCGTGGGAATAATATGAAATGTGCCAAGTTAAGAATGTTCAAAACTTGAGATCATCTAAATAAGTTGTCGGCTTTGAAAGGGGATGGGATGTTCATGACGTTTTGCCGAAGCTGTGTGCCTCGGCTCCCAACTCCACTGCATTCCGAAACGCCCGCAATTCACCTTGTACAAAAGATTATGTAGTTTGGTTTGATTTAATTTCTTAATGTCCTCGGTACCTGCATGCTAACCAACTTAAACGTGTCACATTCGAATGAACCGGAATTTAAGAATATCAATTTAAGTAATATCTCCGAACTGCCTAGGTATCTTCTTAGGTTATTATATGGATATATGCTACTGTTTTAGGGCCGGCGTCTGTGATTTGCATGTGATTATATATATCCTCGATGCCCTGACAGCACATCTAAATATACGTCTATATTTAACTCAGAAATCTACACAGTACAACACTGGTTTACCAACGAAAGAGAAAGGAAAAAAAAGAAAGTAGCCCCATGTGAGGCAGTATGCCTCGAGAAGTCGCAAGGTTCTCGCTATTAGTCCATTCACAAGAGAGAAATCCAACCTACAGAAAAAAAAAGCGAAAATAGAAAATAGAAAGGTGAATAAGGGGAGAGGGGAAGACGGGGGAAGACACAGAGATAATGATGGGCCAAGGTAATAGAGCAGAGACGTGGCCAGGAAATCATGAGAACGCAGAAACCGGCGGTAATCGCATAAGCAAACGCAGAAACGAGAATAGAACGCAGGTCGTCTGAAGCGAATCCAAGGCAAGAAAGGAGGCCCCTCTCCCAACGGCATCATCATAACGATTGCCAGCTCCGCAGAGAAGCTTCCCCTTGCCTGTCAGGACCATGTCGGTTTTCCAAAGGCCTGACAAGCCTTCCTTCTGCCGTTTAGATATCACGCCGCTTGAAACCCCCTCGATTCATGATGTAACATTGCGCCAAAGTGAAGCACCGCAACACACAAAGAGAACATCGTGCCGTTTAGCAGCAGCCACCTGCCGATCCAGACTGGACACCCTGGCCCTGGCCAACCTGCACAGTCGGCTTGTTGTTAACAGTGGCGGTTCCCATACGTTCCTTGATCTGCCGTGCCATTGTCAAGAATGCCTGTTCAACATTTGACGCATTCTTGGCCGAAGTCTCGAGGAAGGGAATTCCGAGGCTATCGGCGAACTCCTGTAAAAATTCAATACATGTTAATAGTCTGGTTTCTGTTCCAGTGTCCTAACGGCCCTGAGTCTGTGTTTAACATACCTTGGCAACGGTGTATTCCACGACCTTCTTGTCCTCCATATCGCTCTTGTTTCCAACGAGCAGCTTGTTAACACCCTCGGTGGCGTACCGGTCAATCTCCTGAAGCCACTGCTTCACGTTGTTGAAGGAATCCATGTCGGTGACATCATAAACAACGCAAATTCCATGAGCACCCCGGTAGTAAGAAGATGTGATAGTACGGAATCGCTCCTGGCCGGCGGTGTCCCACTGTATATATTATTAGCTTTGTCTTTTAAGTCTGGTGTTCAATATAGCATACGATCTGAAGCTTCACGGTCTTGCCATCGAGTTCGATTGTGCGGATTTTCTATAATGAGCCATCAGCACCGTACTCTCTTGCGGCCAAATACGCTGCAGATTTCGAGACGTACGAAGTCGACGCCGATTGTCGAAATGTAGCTTTCAGTGTAGGTATCATCAGCAAAACGGAGCAGCAAGCAGGACTTTCCAACACCGGAGTCACCGATGAGGAGCAGCTTGAAAAGGTAATCGTATCTATCTCGATGGTTAGGCAACGGAGATCGGTAAGTTTGGGGAGTTGGGTCAGTTGGCGGCCAAATCAGCGACGCGAGGATACTCTAGAAATAGATATCACATCAGTCAAATTCAATACGAAAGCAGACTCGTATAGTCGACCAAAACGGGGAGCATAGTTAGAAGAGAATCTGGGGGGATGGGAAATGGGGGAAGGCTTACCACTCAGGATTCATGATGAGACTTGGGAAGCGAATAAGGAGGTGAAATGAAAAAGGGATAGAGCACACAAAGACCTAGAGGATTATAAAGAAAGAAAAAAAAAACTAGTTGATGGGAGTCGAAGTTCCTAGGAAGTCGGGGGAGGGGACAATGATGGAACAGTCGCCTGAAATGATAGGAGGTGCAGGGAGGCAGACGCACCTGATGCGCAGCTTTGTTTCACGTCGCAACCACTCGGATTTCTATATCTTCTTGATTTTAGTTCCCTTTTTACACAAGTCTATATCAAGAGCATAATATGCTTGATTTTACGTCTCATATCCGGGATCACCTGCTCCCTCAACTGATGTTATCCCGTGCATAAACTCAGCCTCGTGGGTACGTTGCGCATAGGACCAATGATCCGAAGAAATTCAGAACTTCCCTTTTACATTGTATCAAAATCAAATGAATTTTTAGTTGAACAAAACAAAGATATTGTTGAAAATCATAATGTAAAGCATTTACGCGTAACCGTGTGCCTGCAGCCATTCGAGAACCAATGCCTCCTCACGCTCCTTATATGATGCATTGGTTCGAATGTTGTCCGAGACAATCACAAGTGCACGGTCATAGGCCCCCGTTTCCTTGTCCTTGAAGAAAGCCGCGATGTCATCACTTATCTGGTGATCGGCAAACTTTGATAGACCCATACGGACAAAGCGCTCAAACACAACGTTGTTAAATGATAACCTCGTTTCGACAGCCGTCCAGTTGTCCTTGATGTACTGCCACAGCAAATGTCGAACCTTCGAGTTGGCGGCCAGAGATACGGCACCGCTGTGGATGTCCTGGACAGCCACCTTATCTGAAAACACGAAGTTCAAGTAGTCCTTCACTAGAGCAGCATCCTTCGTGCGTCCAAGTGCAGACAGGCAAATCTCTTTGCCATCCACAGAGTCGGTTCGGATATACTCTTCCTTAACAGCATCGTATTCCTTACTGCCGCCCTCCGACACATTGACACTGAAAATCACTGACCGCAGATTAGTATGAATGGCGCCGGTATCTTTTCCGGTCGCCCAGAGATCAAAACGGCGCTTGGCCTCTGAGACAAATCTATGAAATATTGAAACCATATTAGAGACTGCTAAACAACATTCGGAGAGAAGGAAAAAGAGCTCACCCTTCATGACCGGAATTACAGGACATTGCAATGAGCAGCTTCCGAAGTTGAACAATTAGGTAGTCCTCATCGGGCTTGAACTCCCAGCCAATCCGTTCTGCGGCCGGAGACGCCAGTTTAAGCGTAAACCGCTTCAATCCCTCGGCTACTTTTTCGTTTTGTGAGAAAACCGACCGGATATTCGCCAGAGACGCAGAGACTTGGGACCAAACACTGCGAGATGAGATGTCAGAAACGACAGCAAAGGACCATAAGGAGATGTTCCTCACAGATAATTTTGTTCCTCCTTGAATCCTTCCAAAAGAGTCAACAACGCGGGTGTAGTGCCCTCGCCGGAGACTGCAAGGGCCGCTGCATCACCCAGCAGACCGATCTTGTCTTCGACGCTCAAGAGATCAAGCGACTGACCCAACTTTGCCAGATGCATGGGAGAATAGTTGGTTCGATAGAACCCAGAGAGATCCTTGTTGATCTTGTAAAAAGTGTCCTTTCCAATTCCTCCAACAGTGTCGGATTTCGCGGTGAGAGCACGGGTGTCAACAGTGGCCAGTTTCGGTCCGGATTTGATGTCGAGTGGAATCCACCATTTCGTCTCATCTTCCTCCGGCTTCGCGTCGCCGGTAGACAAGAATCGATTCTGGCTAACGGTGATCTGGCCCGGTTCCTCTGTCACGGTAACAACCGGGAAACCGATCTTGCGAATCCAGGGATCCTAGGACAGGTCAGTTACATCTCAAATTAACCAGGCAAAGAGCCAAGGGTTAGGTATTTACTTACCATGAAAGAATGCACATCCTGGCCGGAGGCTTTGCTCAAGGCGGACCACAAGTCATTTGTCGTTGCATTTCCTATAGCCACTCAGTAGACGTTCCTCAAAAATTTCTTGTTCGACGCCCTACCATATGCATGAGATTTGAGATAGTTCGCAACCCCACGCAAGAAAGTCTCTCTACCAAGGTGGATACTCAGCATGCGAATGACAGAGCTTCCTTTCAGGTAGCTGATATGGTCGAAAATTTGGTCGACTTCGAGGGCGTTTCGAACAGGAACTTCAATAGGGTGGGAAGCGCGGAGCGAGTCGAGGTGGAATGCTTGTTGCACACCTTCAGCCTGAGAGAACGTCAATATTGGTCTTCACATGATGCATATTACCTCGGGAATTCCATACGACAAACTGGGACCAGACGTTCCATTCTGCTTGCATATTAGATACTGTGTCAGAGGCTCGTCGCTCAGAAGAGTACGAAGCTCACCAGGATAGAAATGATCAACGGCAAGCCAACCGACCCACGTTGCGAATCCTTCATTCAACCACAGCTCATTCCACCAGTCCATGGTGACGAGGTTGCCAAACCACTGGTGGGCCAGCTCTATAAAGTGAGTCAGATACCAAAACCATCTTGACACTTAGATACCCAGAGATCGAATGTGGGGACTGACCGTGAGCCACAACATAAGCAATGCGGTTCTTGTACCGATTATCCGACTTTCCTTCATCGAAGAGAACAGCGGTCGTTCGATAGGTCACAAGACCCCAGTTCTCCATGGCACCCATGGCCTAGATACCCGCAATTAGCTTAAATAAAAAGTTCGAACTCATAGGGAACAAGTCGTTACCCACAAATTCGTGAACAGCCAGAAGATCAGCTTTGGGAAGGGGGTATTCAATTTCGAAGACTTCCGAGAAATAGTCGACCGTGCGGTGAGCACATTCTAGTGCAAAACGAGCCTGATCTTGAAGGCCCCGCGTGGTGTAAACTCGAACGGGAATACTCTTGCCCTGGTATTTGCGCTCGGTCATAGCCTCAACATATTCGAAGTCGCCAACTGCCCAGGCCAAAAGGGTAGGTGCTCATGACTGGTGTCTTCTCAAACGCGACAAACTTCAAACCGGGCTTGGTTCCATCTCTTTCTGATTGTACAGGCATGTTGCTCAGTGCAGTTTGTCCTTTGGGAACTTCAATCTCGAAATCGAAGGTGGATTTCAAGTTGGGCTCATCGAAACAGGGGAAAGCCCTTCGTGCGTCGCATGACTCAAATTGAGTGCTTAGCATGTAATAAAAGTCATCTTCCTTAGGGGTGTCGGGAGACGGCTCCCCGACAGGCTTATACTTCGAGCGGTAGAAGCCGGCCATGGCGTTGTTCATGGTGCCTGTAAAGTTGATGGAAAGCACGACATCTGCCGGCGCAATCTCTTGCGAAAAAGCAAGGGAGACTCGCTCCGATTGCTTGTCGTAGATGATTCCGGATGCTTTGGCCAATTGGCTCCCTATGACAAGAAGATCGACATTAGTCTTTTCTCTATATCACACCAATGATATGCTCTCACACGTACCATCTTTCCCCAATATCTCGGCATTTTGTACTTCAATCTCCTTTGAGTTCAGCACAATCTCGCTAGTAGCACGGGTGACCTTGAGATCGATCTTTAAAGCGCCCTTGTATTCCCATGAACCACCGAACTGCAAGTCGAAAAGCGAGACATGGTAGTTGATAGGCTTAGCTCTATTATCATGTCAACTTCGAAGTTGCAAACCAGAAAGAAAGGGGCTCGAATGTGGAAATGAAAAGGAAGTAGGAGAAAAAAAAAACAATAACCTAAGCGGGACATCACTCATCACTCACACGTCAGGAAGTGTTTCTCGTTCTTGAGACGCCATCATGCGGACTTCGGCGGAACAATGCCTGATGAGAGGGAAATTTAGGTCTATTGTAGCAGCGGGTGTAGGCAGTCGAGGTCGCAGTCGAGTTCGCAGTCGAGGGAAATATGAACGAGAAAATTTGTGTAGCGTGCGAGAAAGAGGAGGGGTAGGGCGGACAGTGACTGGACAGAGGACTTCAACTGCTACGCCAGCTCGAATGGATCTTCTTCCCCACATCGGGGGGATTCTAGCTGAACCGTCTACGGCTATCGTCGGAAATATTTCGAGGATTATTAATTATGTAGTTTGAAAGAGATTTCAACTTGTGACTGGGTGACAAAGGAGAAAAGGAGGATATTCTCCAACGGAGCTCCGTCGGAAGCTTGGACCATCTTTAGTCTTCCGTTTGGAGCCTCTTTCTCTCTCTCCATCTTTCTCTCTCCATTCTTGCCTACAAAGATGGCCGACTCCGATGAAGAATATGTGGGGGAGGTAACAGAAGATGAAGATGATTTACAGGTGACTCGGGGCGATAAACCGCGAGCCAAAAGAAAGCAGCGCGGAGGCGCAGAATGGGAGCTATCCAGAACCTGGGAGACACTTGTGGAGGGTGCAGATGGTACCATCAACTCGACCGTCGAAAGTCTGCTAGAGGCTGGAAAACGAAAAAGGTTAGCCCCTTCTCTTTACAGCGTCCATACATTCTTGCTGAAGTGCATCGGTCGTCCAGGCTTTTAAAAGATACGACACCACTACAACGCGGTATCATTCGACATCTTATCCTAATTCTGGATCTTTCGCAATCCATGTCTGAGAAGGACTTGCGACCCACAAGATATTTGTTGACTCTCCGATATGCCCAGGAATTCGTTAGAGAATTTTTTGAACAAAATCCCATCTCCCAGCTTGGTGTCCTTGGCCTTAGGGATGGTCTCGCGCTCCGAGTCAGTGATTTGAGTGGCAATCCAACAGAACATCTCACAGCCATACAAGCTCTCAAACCACAAGATCCGAAAGGTTTGCCCAGTCTTCAAAATGGATTAGAGATGGCACGTGGTGCTCTTTTGTATGTTTTTACACCAGCTCCATGTAGCCTGGGAACGGAACTAACCGGTGAATTCAGCCATACACCTAGCCATGGCACTCGAGAAGTGCTATTTATATATGGTTCCCTCCTTTCCTCCGATCCTGGAGACATCCACCAAACGATAGACACCCTGATTAGCGACAAAATTCGGGTCGGTATTGTGGGTCTCGCGGCCCAGGTTGCAATTTGCCGGGAACTTTGTACAAAAACCAATGGTGGTGATGAAACAGCCTATGGAGTAGCATTGAATGAGCAGCACTTTCGGGAGCTGATGATGGACGTGACTACACCCCCTGCTGCCTACTCACAGAAAGAATCTGCAAGCTCATTGCTGATGATGGGATTCCCTTCTCGTACAGTGGAGTCAAGCCCCTCGCTCTGCGCATGCCATTCAAAGCCCTCACGAGGAGGCTATCTTTGCTCACGATGCAACAGCAAAGTGTGTAGTCTTCCTGCGGAATGCCCATCTTGTGGGCTCACGTTGATCCTTTCAACTCATCTGGCACGATCGTATCATCATCTATTTCCCTTGATCAACTGGGTCGAAGTGCCGTGGCGTCGAGCCTCGCGAAGCTCCGCTTGCTTTGCCTGCGGTCTTTCTTTTCCATCCGTGCCTTTGGAAGACCACTGGCAAATAGCAGAGAACCAGACCAAGGGAATGAGTGTAAGCAGTCGCTACGAGTGTACTGCGTGCCGTAATCACTTCTGTATCGACTGCGACCTCTTTGCACATGAGGTCGTTCACAATTGCCCCGGCTGTCAAAGTAGAAGCGCACTCTTGCACTCTGAGGTAGCCAATCAAACATCAGGTGGGATGGATGGCATGGTCTAGGATGTGGAATTATAATATTGCATGGTTTGGCGTTGCAAGATATCCCTGGGCTTTTCCGTTCACAGGCCAAAAGGTAGCATGGAAGGCGTCTGTCTATACAAGGTACTTTTTTCTTTCTTTTTTCTTTCATGATTTCCATGTGTATTTCGCCATTTCTAAGAGTAGGAAAGGCTCAAAAGGGTCGAACGGTGCAGAGTAAATAAATAATTGGAGAACTCAAGGGTAGATGATGAGCCTCGGCTACTTAGATTAGATTGTCCCACGCCATCCATCCTCCGCATCATCCACATCCCAGGCCTTTTGTATTTTTCGCTATCAAACAATGGCGCAGCCCTCAGAAGCTCGGGTCTTTGAAAAGCTGCAATCTTACTCCTTCACATCTGACCCTGAGTTTTCAAATGGCCTTTCAATAATACTTGGTCACCCCGACACCCCCGCCACCGAGGTGGAGATGAACCGGGATGACGACCTTGTCCTGCAGGCCAAGTGTTTCTTCTTCTCACGGTATGCTGGGAATACCTGCGCAAAATATTTTAGGTACTAATCTGAGTATAGAAAAGAAAAGCTTACCCCAGCTATTGACTTTGCTGCCTTCAAATCATGGTTGGCATCGCGGGCAACGGAGCCCCAAGCGCTAGGCAATACAGACTTGCAAATTTCCGAAACATCAGACCCAAGCTCATCTGGACCTGAGAGTTCAACACATCCTGAACCTGCTTACCCATCGTCATTTGCGCATATCGTGGAACTTATCACTACCGGACAACCAATACCTGGGATCCAGGATATCCCGGACACAGTGCTCAGTGGGCACGATATTTCCAGTGAGAAACCACGGCGACGGAAGCCATGGGAAAAGAATGAAGTGGTGATTAATTCAGATGAGACTGCAAGCGCTGCTCCCTGAAATTCTGTTCTATCCACATGAGGTTCAGGATGGATTAAATATTTGAATGGAATAGAATTTCGATAATAACAATATGGTTTCCTTAAAAGAAAAAATTAACGTGACACGCCACAGGCCTCAATCTATACGATTGAATGAAATGATAGCCCTGGGGGATAGCAAGCCAAATGAATAAATCGGCAAGCAGTGATAACTCACAATATTGAAACACAGAAATGACTGGGTAATTTGGAATTGGGTCAGCAGATATTGATAAGGCACGATTAGGAGAACTGGCAAGAAAAAACTTTTGCCTGGAAGCAGAGGAGGTAATATGCTCAAATGATGCTTTTACTTCTTTGTTGTTGGTTCTTGGGAGGAGGAAGGAGGGGTTTTCTGTTTTCTCTTTGCGCGGCGAATAAAAGTGAATAAGAAGTATCAAGAGACAAAATCAACGAAGCGGCGCATAATTGGGTCCCCATTGATGTCCGCGGCCAAAACGACCACTGGATTGGCTTGTGCTAGTAAATTTGTCTTCGTTGAAATTGTTGAAACGGCCGATTTGCATTCCAGCCCCAGGACCAGGGCGTGTGGCATGAGATGGGTTGCAGCAAAGCATAGCCACACGAGAGCCGAATTTGGAGCCACGAAGGGAGACCATATGTTTCCTAATTGAATAAGGTTAGACTTTAGGCCACTCAAAGTGGGAAATGAACTGTCGAGGAGTAGTACCGAATGTGACTAGCCACGAGCTCTCGTTGATGAGGCGCAGCATTCATCAGAATCCACTGGATGAGATAGTTCCCATACTGATCACCCGCTACTAGAAACAAATTAGTACCCTATCATTGTGTCAAAGCCCGGGCAACATACTATCGATCAATGGCATGCGAGGTCGGTCAGATCGGCCAGTGCAGACACGAGAGAGATAATGGTCCATGAACTCCGTGCCGCCAATTTTGAGACATTTTTCCACGATCTTAGATGCGAATTGATCCATACTGTAATCCACCGCCCAGCGAAGGACGTGCTCAACAGCACGGCTCTTGTCGTGGGGAGCGCCGTGCTCGCAAATGTGTTGGATGCACCAATTTCCAAATTGACCATGAGCGAGTACATCAATCTTCGCCAGTACTTCTTCGATTGCCGGCCGCTTCAAAATGTTAGCATTGGTATAGTCAATATAAATTTAATCAACATAGATGATCAAACAGAGAAGCAGGACAGCGAGAGAAGGGATTTGATGCATATGTTAACGGCTCGGGCTGACGGGGAATCTTACCTTTTCCTCCTCCACGCAATTCTCAAAGATATTTTGGACGACTAGACTTCCTGTCTCTCCAAGGGCAACCTCATGCCACATTCCACGTAATGCCTCATTCACTTTAGCCATCACCTGCGGAGGATCACCACTCCACCGGAGTTCAAAGAGTTTCTGCCAAACGTGGCACGCATATCGATGGATCACTGTCTCGGGAATTCTGCGGAGAAGTTCATGTACCATGATAGCTTTATGCTCCTCTGAAACGCAGTCAAATGCCTTTTGGACCACATGGCAGCCGAACGCATCCATGCTAAGGTTTAGCGTGTTGCCTCTGATCGAATTGGCGATGGCGATGACTTGCTCCGGAGTTCCATGTTCAAAGCAGCGCTGTATGAGGAAGTTCCCAAAGCGGTTGACCATGAGTGGGTAGGCTTGATGCACAATTGACTCGATGATGTCGTATTTTTGCTCGGCTGTGCCGACCTTGAGCTTTTGTTGTAAGAAAATCGAAGCTTGTTGGTCATTGTTGCAGATTATCTTTTCTACTATGTACTTCCAATCACATGACACATTCTTGTCGAGCAGGCGTCGGTAATTGAGTGGCTCAAGCGGTGACACGTATGTCTGGATAGAATTTCCGCTCATCTGACAAGAGTTAGAATGAATGCAAACATGACGCACATGATTGTCTCTTACCGAGTTGTTCCATGCGGTTTCATTCGTGTTAGCGCTTGTAAATTCGGTAGCAGTAGGTGAAAGGGGGCTTCCAATCGGTCGAGGGGGGTACGAGGGCACAGAGTAAAGCCCAACCTGCTGAAAGGCGCTGGGAGGCCTCTTCGGCGAAGCGGGTGACTTTGGGTTTTGCTCACTGGAGGACAACACAGGAGCAAAGTCACTCCAAGTAGACTGAATTGGAAATAGAGATCCACCCCTACTACTTTGAGTGATGGAGCGACGAGTCCCGGTGATGGGTCCTGGGGGGTATAGCATCTGGTCACCAATGGGACGCGAGTAGAACCCACATGGACTAGCTGAAGAACCCGAGTGTGCTCTGTGTGATTGTACAGACGGTGGACCGGCAAACGGAGGATAAAAATTGGAGACCCCCAGAACCGATTTGGGTCCTGGCTTGTAGAGCTGCTGGCTCTTGAAAGGCTCTCTCCGTATTCCCTGTCAGCGGCAGGCTCATTCTGGGCCCAGAGCCCGCGAGATCTGTTGTAAGCTCCTGTAGACAATGGATCCGAGACATCAGATTGTGAATCGTCTTGCCCACCCCATGCATCTTGGAACTGGCTGAATGCAGAGCTCGATGCGCCAAATGCATTCTGCAGGTGACTGATGGTCTGCTCTGTAATTTCGCGGCTTCCGAATTCAGCCTCTGATGATGGACCCAGAGCTTGATCCAAGGTATGTTTTATCACACGGGTTTGAGCAAGCTCTTGCTCCTGTAGAGCAATCTTGGAATTTGCAGCAAGGAGTTCCTGCTTAAGGCGAAGCAGCTCTACCGTTCTGTCTTCCTGGGGGTATGGATGAGTGGTTTCAGTGAGGGTTAAAGCTGAGACTGTTGTGGCCGGAGTGATTTGGGATGAAACGGAAGAGCGATCAGTTTCGGAACGTGGAAGGGTGATCATTTTTGGAGAAATCTTCGCCAATATTCTGTCAAGATCCGATGTTTGTCCGTTCAAAGATTCAACTTTGATATGATCTAGCTTCTGCTTCTGAGATTGTGAGATCAGAGGGACATACACTCATAAAAATCAATACTACAGGAAACACATACCTTGCTCGACGAGTGCTCAGTCCCTTCACCAGACGAGACCTGCAACTTCCCATGTCGGGATGTTTCAGCCGCATCGGAAGGGCCGTAATGAGTAATCGAGTCCTGGGGGCTCTGACGCGGCCAATGGGATTAGTATGCTAAAAAAAAATTGGTTCAAGGCTGTTCAGCAGCATACCGACGATTCATGTCCAAAAGAGAGATTTCGCACATCAATGCCATCATTGGAGGCAAAACGTCCTCCATTCCCCATGCGACCAAGTGATGAAGGCCCGCTTAGGGTAGACATATTGTCAACTAGAAGAGATTTAAAGTGAAACAAAAATAAACCCAGATATGGAGACAGAAGAAAGAAAGATAAAGGAGGGGGAGAAGTAATGAAGTCGTTGCGTGAAGGTTGGGACAAACAGGCTCGTTGGAAACCAAGTGAGTTTACATGCAACGAAAAGGATTCCGAGCAGATTCTTGCAAGATGACGGTAAACATAAGGGAACTTTTTGAGATGAGGAAGTTGAGTGGATGATGAGCAGAGACGAGATTGGGACTAGAGGATAGGTGAAGAAGTAGAAATGTGGGATGGAAAGAGAAGAGAGGGGGAAGAAAAGCGAAAATGAAAGAGAGGAAGGAGCAGAGCCAGAAGAGAGAACCTTCCACTGAAGATATACATGTTCCTACGACCCAATTAGGCATAGTTGGTTCTTTCCATGAAAAAGGATACAGCATACGTCCATGGATGTATGTACTAGTAGTACTCCAAAGATATCTTAGGTATGATTATAGAAGCTCATCATAGCATTTATAGAATGAGCTTTTCACTGTGTTCTGCGTATTCTGCATTTGATAACTACTCATTTTCACATTTTTAGCTATAATACCGAGAAATGACATTGTAGTGTTTCTTGAATATAACGTATTAATATGATCTGGAGTCAAATAGATCGGATTTTTGTTTTTTTTTTTTTTTTTTTAATTAAAGTCTTATGTCGTTAAGAATAGAGGCTGCGTATACACATTTATATAAACTTGGAAGTATATACAACATATTTACATTTATCAGACCCAAACACTTCAATATATGGACAGTTTTTCTTTGCCCTAACTCCCAAAAGCCAACCTTGGAAGATATTTGCATGCAGATCAGGGTCCATGCCACGTGATCTAGATGACGCGTAATAGATAAGAGTAGTTACATAGTTATGTAGTGTAGTTATACGCAGACGGAACAAGGGGACATTTTCTTATTATAGAAACTCCCCCCAATAAAAAACCAGGGGGAATAACGGGAAAGATGATAATAATTCATAAAGAAACAAAAAAAAAATTCACTATGTAATAGACATAATCATACTTTTAAGAGTATTTTCTCCAGCCATTTTTCTCAACATCGTATCCCGTAATGTAAGTGGCGGTATACATCGTACATGGAAATCAAATCGCATCTCTACTATCCGTGGTAGATTTCAATTTATTATTGGAGTGGATAGCTTCCGAACTTACAGTTTCCCAACAATTCCTTTGTCTAACATATGCCTAGGTATCATCAGGTGTATTTCCACATAATCATTCCATCGCTTGGCTTCGCCGAAAGCGTGTGTGTTTCTATACTCGACGCTCATTCGCCCAGAGAGATTCGTCATCGACAAACCGGCGAACTAACCCGCCCTTTTTCCTCCATTAACTAGTGAAGCGGACACATATCCTCACCGGAAATCATTGAGCAGATTGCCTCTCCGCAGCTGCTTCTTCGCCCTTCTCGGGTAAGTGATACCAAGTGCGGGTTCTTTTCGGGGTCCGGAGAATTGACATCTGAAGATAGTCTAGACGTTCCGGGTAGTGGAAGATGGCTACAACCACAGTAACCGGTCATGGGCGACGCGCCTCCATGCGCCAGACCGAATTGCAAATACCAACCAAACCCTCCATTCCTCAATCAACGAGCAGTCCGATAGACAAATTCCCGCCTTACGAAGACACCCTCGACGCCGTCGCGGGGTCAACCCGTCCAAATCGAAGCGCCTCGGTGAAATATGCCCCGAACGAGCTCTGGGAACCCCGAAAAGCAAGCTTTTACTCACGAGAGTATGGGAATGGATCATTACGGAATCCCAAACACCGCCCACGAAAGAGCATCAGTGAAGCCATCACGACAATCAGAACACGTAATGGCAGTATGAGTGCCAGTGCTCATGAATTGGCCGAAGCACTTCGCGCCCCAGTCTCTTACCGACTCATTGTATGTTGATTCGCATTTTGACAATATGCACACATAGAAGAAAAAAAACTTCAACGAAGCCGCTGGCTAACATACTGTCTCAAGGCTCTCTGTCTCGTTTGGTATCTGACCTCTGCCCTCACAAATACGTCCTCAAAGTCGATATTGAACGCCCTTCCGATGCCGATCACATTGACCATGATTCAATTTGCATTTGTCTCCTTTTGGTGTTTGCTATTGGTGTATCTCTCTACAGTTATACCCCGGTTGCGACAAGGTGTCCCAATCCTTCAACATGGAATTCGCTACCCATCCCGTGACGTGATTGCCACAGCCTTGCCCCTGGCAGTATTTCAATTGGCTGGTCACATTCTGAGCTCTATGGCTACTGCACAAATCCCCGTATCTCTGGTCCACACTATCAAGGGCCTTTCCCCTCTCTTCACGGTTCTAGCATATCGGGTCCTGTTTCGCATTCGATATGCGCGGGCAACCTATTTATCGTTGATTCCTCTGACTGTGGGTGTGATGCTTGCATGCTCTACCGGAGTGTCTACAAACTTTTTCGGTATTTTTTGCGCATTTGGTGCAGCTATTGTGTTTGTCTCGCAAAACATATTCTCGAAGAAGCTGTTCAACGAAGTAGAATCAGATATAGGGCGGCGGAAGTTGGACAAACTCAACTTGCTTTGCTATTGCTCCGGGCTGGCTTTCTTTCTCACTCTGCCTATCTGGTTTGTTACAGAGGGTTACCCGCTAGTATCTGATTTCATTCATGATGGTGTGATCTCGCTATCGGGTAAGCAAGGCTCATTGGACCACGGCGCTCTTTTCATTGAGTTTGTCTTTAACGGAGTCTCACACTTTGCCCAAAACATCCTGGCCTTTGTGTTGCTGTCAATGGTTTCTCCCGTCTCCTACTCAGTTGCATCATTGGTCAAGCGTGTGTTTGTGATCGTGGTGGCGATTATATGGTTTGGGAGCTCAACCACCCCGATTCAAGCATTTGGCATTGGCCTTACTTTCGTGGGCCTTTATCTTTACGACCGCAATAGTCATGATGATGTAGCTGATCAAAAGGCAAACACGGATTATTTCCGTGCCGAGCAGTCCATTCTTCCAATGAATGTGCGACACCCAAGCAAGCCATGGGACTCTAATGGTTATGCCTTCCCCGCAGAGAGGACCTTCGAAGGTGCCCCCAATAACTCTCACAATACATCAAACAACTCCAAGAAGGAAGACGATGGGCCTGGGCATGTTCGACCAAGAGGGGCCAGTGTGTCTCGTACTTGGTTACCAGGGACCAAACAAGAATCCACTTGGCAGGTTAGCGATTCTCAAGCTGCAGCCTAGCATTTGTATTTTATTGGTTCAGTGTACGATATCACAGCAGCAAGGTATTGCTCAAAGAGCTTTTACATTACTATCCTTTATCCCTATTGCGCGTACACTTGCCTAGGATGCAGAGCATTCTTTCAAGCCAAAGATGTATTTTGGCTGCGTATAGGGGCTGCGTATAGGATAAATCAGAGTTCAGATTGGCACCCAAAGTTACAATAAATGGGATCTAGCAATATCATAGATAAACCCCCAAAAAGGTATAGCATAAATAGGATTGCATTGGAAGCGTACAATATTTAATAGATATATATCTATCAGGAGTGATGTAGCTACCGTTGGTAAGGAACAAAGTCATAATTAGGCGAACCCTTGACAGCTCCAGCTACGGTGCAATTCTGCTCTTGGGACATGCTGTAGAGGAAATAGGAACAGGGAAATGGCCTGCCTCCTACAATAAATGATGCCCTTAAAACAATTTAATTGAAGAAGGGAAAAGGAGAAAATGGGGGCAGAAACGGGAGCTTTTAAGGGACCTCGGAGCGGGAGTTTATCCGCCTAACCGAGTCAATTGAGCCAATCCGCGTGAGCCCATTTCTCGTTGCTCTTAGTCAGCAAAGTGATGGTCAGCACTCCCATTATGTAACCTTAGAACCGCAGATTCCGATGCAAAGTGCTCTCTGAACTCCCAACCCGTCACCAGGATCTCACCCCCTCGCCCTCCTCCACCTTATCTTCCACCCTCATATCTCTGATCCCCTTCCAATGATGCGGCCGCAGCTGTTTCGTGCGGCCGCCCGGTCCCTCCGGGTTCCTAAGGTCACACCTCGGACATTCGCGACGACAGCCCCTCGCGCGGCCGAGGTGGAACTCACCATTGGTAAGTCCAATCTTGGGCTAGTTCATCCAAATTGATCGATAACTGATGGCCTGTTTCTCTAGATGGCAAGAAGGTGTCAGTAGAAGGTAGGTTTTCCCTCAAGATAACTCATTGTACATTCGCTCACATTCTCTCCCCAAAGCTGGCTCCGCTCTTATCCAGGCCTGTGAGAAGGCAGGCGCAACGGTTCCCAGGTATGAAAAAGACTCCGCCAATCCAATTTACTCACAGTACTAACATGTACCAGATATTGTTACCACGAGTATGTGCCTTTGGTCGAGTTTCATATGTTGTTTTTGCTAACATCAGTCCCTTGAAGAAAACTTTTGGTTGCAGGAAACTGTACGTCCAACCCATACTCCCCCATCCCACGCCATTGAGTACTTACAGAAACTATAGGTCGTATGTGCCTCGTTGAGGTCGAACGTGCCCCAAAGCCGGTTGCCTCCTGTGCTTGGCCGGTACAACCCGGTATGGTGGTGAAGACGAATTCACCACTTGTTCACAAGGCAAGAGAGGGTGTCATGGAGTTCCTTCTCGCCAACCATCCCCTCGATTGTCCTGTCTGCGACCAAGGAGGAGAGTGTGATCTCCAAGACCAGTCGATGCGTTACGGTGCAGATCGGGGTCGATTCCATGAAACCGGTGGAAAGCGTGCCGTGGAGGATAAGAACATTGGCCCACTGGTCAAGACCTCAATGAATCGATGCATTCACTGCACTCGTTGTGTCCGATTCATGAATGATGTTGCCGGTGCCCCAGAACTAGGAACCGCCGGTCGCGGAAACGACATGCAGATTGGAACCTACCTCGAGCAGAACCTCAACTCAGAACTCTCAGGCAATGTCATCGATCTTTGCCCTGTCGGTGCACTAACCTCAAAGCCTTATGCTTTCCGGGCACGTCCGTGGGAGCTCAAGCACACCGAATCGATCGATGTCCTTGATGCGCTTGGCTCTAATATCCGGATTGATAGCAGAGGCTTGGAAGTGATGCGGATTGTCCCACGATTGAATGACGATATTAACGAGGAATGGATCAATGACAAGTCGCGGTTCGCATGCGATGGGTTGAAGACTCAACGGCTGACAACACCGCTCATTCGTCGGGAGGGCAAATTCGTTCCTGCCACTTGGGAACAGGCTCTAACGGAGATCTCATCGGCTCACCAGAGGCTACAACTACAGGCCAATGAGTTCAAGGCTGTTGCTGGACACTTGGTTGATACCGAATCGCTCGTCGCCATGAAGGATCTGGCAAACAAACTTGGCTCTGACAACCTTGCCCTGGATCAACCTGGAGGCGGTGCCCCTATTGCTCACGGTATCGATGTCCGTTCCAACTACCTGTTCAACTCTAAGATCTATGGAATCGAGGAGGCAGATGCAATTCTTTTGGTTGCGACAAACCCTCGTCACGAAGCTGCAGTTCTTAACGCCCGTATCCGCAAACAGTATATTAGATCTGATCTTGAGGTTGGACTTGTCGGCGAGGAGTTTGAGAGCACATTCGACTTCAACCATTTGGGCACCGATGTCTCTTCCTTGAAATCCGCTTTGTCCGGCGAATTTGGAAAGAAGCTTGCCGAAGCCAAACGGCCAATGATCATTGTAGGTAGCGCTGCTGCAGAGCACCCTGATGCCAAGGCAATCTTCGAGGCTGTCGGTGGTTTCGTGGAGAAGAATGCAAGCAATTTCATTACCCCTGAGTGGCAGGGCTATAATGTGCTCCAGCGTGCGGCGTCTCGGGCTGGTGCCTATGAAGTTGGCTTCACTGCACCATCTTCCCAGGTTGCTCAGACTACTCCCAGGATGATGTGGCTTTTGGGCGCAGATGAGATTGCCCAAAGTGAGATACCGAAGGATGCATTTGTTGTCTACCAGGGACACCATGGTGATCGGGGTGCTCAACTTGCTGATGTTGTTCTCCCGGGCGCTGCATACACCGAGAAGTCAGGCACATACATCAACACAGAAGGCCGTGTGCAGGTTACCCGTGCTGCCACTTCTCTCCCCGGTGCAGCTCGTGATGACTGGAAGATTATCCGGGCCACTAGCGAATTCCTTGGCGCTCCTCTTCCTTATGATGATATTGAGGCTCTTCGTGACCGCATGGAAGAGATCAGCCCTATCATGCGTCGCTACGACGTTGTTGAGCCGACCTCAGTTGGCTCCTTGGGCAAGGTCCAACTTGTGGATCAGAACAAAGGATCTCCAGCTACCGGGGCTCCTTTCAAGAAGGTGATCGAAGACTTCTTCTTCACTGACGCTATCTCTAGAAGGTGATTACCCTGTTCCATCCTTTGCCATTAATCGATTTGCATTGCTAACTCTGCTTTAGTTCGCCTACCATGGCCCGCGCCTCCGCTGCCAAGGCCACTGGAAACCCTGAGACCAACTTCATGGCTGCAGGAGAAATGTCTCCCCAGGCTTTGTATGGCTAGATCACGGTCTATTTTGACCTCATTCTGTGTTTCTTTAATGGTTGCAGGCGTTTTATTGTACCACATCTTAAATTTCCCTCTTGATGTACTGTTTCCTTTCCATCCTCTGTGTTTTTCCCTATCATCTTGAACACCCTTCCGGTTCCTGTTGACCTCTTCGCCATTCTCCGGTGTCGCCTGGGATTAATCGGTAGTGGTTGCCTTGTACATAAAGACTGAACTCCCAAAATTTCGAGTCCATGGGCGTTGGAGATGATGGATCTGTGCTACTTTCGTGATTAGGTGCGTAGCGACTTTTGAAAGGTACAGTTGAGGATTTTTATGGTAGAAACGAGATTAAATTATACCGGGACAACTGACTTGAGAGGGGAAATATATATATATCCCAATGATGGGAATAGAATAGGGCAAAAGAACGAAAGACAGCCCCAGAGACCTATCTATGGGTGTGTTGAAGTATCAAGGAGTCATCATCGCCTGGGTATATACATAGTTATCTATGTTTATAGGCCTAAAGAGTCAAGAGAAACTCCTAACTTCTATCCTGGTTGATGGAATTATTTAACATAGAACATTATCTCGTTATGTTGAACTTACTGTATCTAACTTTTTATCCGACTTGTCTCATTCAGGTGGCCAGTTTAGAGTTCATCATCATCCGTCTCTCCCGCGGTTCCTTCAGCATCTTTGCTGGAAGGGGCTGAAACAGTCTTCTTGTTAGGCCCAGTCCTTTTAGCAAATGGTAAATCCCTCCGAGGCGGCGCGGTGTCTCTCGCTGGGGAGACTCGCCTCAACTGAGCAGATTCATCCTGTGACGAATCATCTGTTGTGCTATTGTTTTGTTCCTCGTCCAAAGGTTCAGGGGTCGAACGCTCTTCATCATCAATATCTTGATTATTGTAGGCACCTGGATCAGTCTTCATTGGATCGATATCCATCCGTTCAAACCCATCAGAGTCGTCTGTGTCGCTCATCTTGCAAGCGCTTCTCTTTGCTGAATGCGATTTCTCGGCGATTCCATGTGGCTCCTCGGGGATGCTAGCTTGTATTTCGGAGACTGTCGATATTTAGTCAATCAATATATCCAGATTTCTCTATTTATGCCACCTACCCTTGGTGGGATTCACAGTAGCCGAGACCAGAAGACGTTGCTGGTTACGGATTTTAAGCTTTTTCTCATTCAAGACCTGTACAAAATTGGCCACCAGTCGATTCTCATGCTCGGTTTTCGCACGCATAAGCTCCTCAAGTTGTTCATTCAACCTATGTATGGTATCTTCGGCGAGGCGATAACGGCCTGTTAGGCTGGATACCTGTTGTTCTAGCATATGAGCTCTGGCTGCAGTAATCCCCGTCCATTCAAAGAGCTCAACAGCTTGTTCATCATCTTGCTTGAGGATAAAAGCACCAAGGCGTTGCTACATTAGTGTTAGCTAGGGATATACATATGTACATATAACCAACCGGTATGGAACACGTACTGTGATTGTTTGCACTCGCTTCCGTATCGTGATCACAATTTCCTTGTTGTCTTCATCAGGACCCGAAATATTGGCAGAAGCTTCGAGACCAGTAGCCCAATCCGCTCCATTGGGGGGAACAGAACATTGACCAAGAATGAGAGAGAGAGTTTTAACCCATTCATCATTCGAACCTTGGTAGTTCTTCGCTTGAAGGTCTTTCAGGCGTGTCTGTTTCACTGTGCGACATGAGCTCATGACTTCTAAACTTCATTATGTGACGACCCACCCAAGCCAACATAGGGCGATTCCCCCTCAGTAGCCATCAAGCTCAGATCCAACGGCGCAGGGCCAGTACATGAAACATGGATGAGTACAAAAGCCCCAGTCTCATCAGATCTGGGAAACCGTAAGATTCGAGGTTCTGTTGAAACCGGGGAGGGCATATTTGGAATGAATAATTCAAGTGACAAGGACTAGTGTATGGAATAAAATTTTAGAAAGAAAGAAAAGAGTAAAGTGTCAAGACTTCGTTCCAACCTTGGAAGTAGTTATTTTATAGATTTGGAAGAAAAACAATCAGGGCAGCAGATTGATCCCAAGGCAACAGAGCTCAAGTGGAACCCCGTTGGGGAGTCTCTATAACGTACTCCGTACTTTGTAGGAGGTACTCGACTGGCAGGTAATCGATACCGGGTCTCCACATATTAGAAGAATAAGTGCGAAAAGTACATATGTACGGAGTACTCCGTACTGGTTACGCCAGTAATAGGTCCATTACCACTCGCAATACATACATAGCTGTTAAATCCGTATGAAACCGACGAGTAATGTTTTGTAGATAGCTCCTATACCTACATTGACAACTACATGTATGTATAGTAAAAATGCTGTACCTACTAAAACAGCAAATACATACAATATGCTGTGAATTGCATGTAATGACTGGGTATCACATGCGTATTTAACACTTGGAAGTATGCAGTTTCTACCAAACATTCAGGTAAACTGGTTACGTAGGTACGTTACCAGTACGGGGGCCCTGTCACGTTCTTCCTCTCCTCCACGAGGAATCTGAGATCCAGCCACAACCGACACATCTTTTTTCCCCTGTCTCCTCTTTGTTTTTGCAATTAAACTCCTTTGATTCATTAAATTCCCCCGAATATCAGCAGCCGGAATCAAGTGTATTGGGGTGTCCCCAATGCTCAAGTGTCCTCTTCTAGCGAATGTTTATGGATGAGGACCTGGCATTTATCAGGTCGTCTAGTGAACCCGCTTGATCTCATTCGGCAAAATCGACTCTGGAGCAAGGCCGGCCTTTATTGAGCTGATTTCTTTACCAACCTGTCTTACAACATCTGAACTCACTTGTCGCGCTACGATCAATAGTGAAACTGCGCTTCTCACTCGCTTCTATCTTTCGTCCCTATCAACCGACACGGAATGACGCTCATGTTTGCACCCCCTGAACCCTCACCAGTGTCGCAAAGCACTGAGTCTGCCACTTAATCAAACCTGCTTCCAGACGCCTGTAATCATCCCATGACCTCCGTGTTCTCTGTATTCCTTCAACCAATTCGCTTCGCTGATCATGGAATCTTTACCAACCCACCTACGGCCGGGTACCGACGAACCGATTGAATGCTGGGATGATGACGACGACTTACAGTTCAGCGAGGATATTCACTTCCGCACCGCATCCAGCGCGGGGTCCATAACAAACTCGTCATTTCGGCCTTCTGGACACCGAGATTCTATCTCCTCTCGACGCTCTGCTCGCTCAGATATTGACTCTAATGCGGGCGATGAAGACTGGCAGGTCCCGCTCTATGACAACGATGAATTTGCAAAAGAAGATGCCATTGCTTCGGCCAAGACCGCAGGCATTCCCATTCCTTTAGATATCCCCAAGTCAGCTCTTATTGGGGGCACGATCAAGCGCTTGTCAACTCGAAAGACCAAGCAAACTTTTGTTGATGACTGGTCAGAAGACGTTGAGCTCCCGGGTCCCGAAACCCTATTACAACTCAAAACTCCTCGGGAAGCCATATTTCCGGAGTCTCTGCGACATTTGAGCTCCACTGCCACCAGTCCGGTGAAATCCACAGCCTCACCATCTTGGGATGAGGAATTCTCGACACGTTTACAATCTACCTTGGGGACATTAAACACTTTCCAAGACGACAACGATAGTTTGGAAACTCGAGATATCCTAACCCTCAAAGCCCCAACCCCTCGATCTCCGAAGAAATTGAACATTGCCAATGTTGGCAGTAGTTTCAACATTGAACAGGAAGCAGACGACGACTTCAACCAGGATTTTGAACTTCCCACCAATCATCAGCCTCTCGAATTATCCAATCGAAAAGCGAATGTCTACGTCTCCAGTCCTACTCTCGAGGACTTTGATCTTGAGTGGTCTGAAGGAAGTATCGGTGTGCGAGTTGGTGGTACCACAAGGGACGGTCGTTCAGTTCCTAGTTCTTCTATCTCTATTGCCAGCCCCAGTGTTTCAAGCTGTATCACGGTGGAAAGTGAAGACGATGGCCTTGACGGTCTTATCATTCCCGAAGGTCCCCTTGATTTCAGTGCTTCTCTGCTGAAGCGACAGACTGCGCAAGCTGAAAACACTGAAGCGGAAGAGAATCAGTTGAATCATATTCCTTCCGACGCTGACGACTTCTTTTCTGGCATTGATATCGACAATGAGAAGGCTTTCTCCTTTGGACGGCCCGCTCTAAACCCCAACATAAAGTGCAAGACAGAACGGCCATCCAGCCCGACTCGTCGATCTGCAACAACACTCACGTTCACCAGTGCGACAGGATCTCCACGAACTCGCATCCCGCGCTTGTCTGGTCATGATCGAAACCATTCAACCCACCTTGAGACAGTGTCAGAAAGTGGTGCACCTCTTTCCAAATTTCGAACATCACAATCGCGTTTAGGCCATTCGTCTCAATCGTCAACTTCAAGTCTGCCGGCCCCTAGTGCTAATCCGACCTCGCCGACTCCTACACTCTCTAGTCGACGGCTTCTCGGGTCTCGCACTTCCCGGGACGTTGCCCAGGCCGGCGAGGGTAAACCTTCAGCCAGGCGTTTAAAGACCAAGCGATCCCTACCATCGATTCGTGGTTTAGGCTCCGCCGCTTCAACATCTGCTTCCCAGCGATCAACGGTCGATCGGCCAGTCCGCCTTCCCTCCGCCAGACCTAAAACACCAGTGGATCTCTCCCTAGCTGATGCGAGGTCGCTGGGTCGCAGGCCACAGGTACCATTTATGCCGGCTGGTGTATCAGAATCCCAATCACACCATGCCAGTGTGAAGGGTTATCGCTCGACACGTCGCACAAATTCAGATAGCTCTGGTGGGCTTCTGAGTCCACAGGGCACAGTCTCTCGACTCTCCTGGCCAACTCGTAATGAGCCGTTCCGTGCCGGGTTTGGCGACACCAGCGTGGAGTCTCTCGGTTCCTCTACAAAACGTACAATCACACGACCCACCAAAAGGCGCAATTTCGGGGATGGAACAGAGTTGGAGTCATTCGATGACCTATCTACGTCGATTTTGGCAGAGAGCAAGTTCGTCAAACCCCCCACCGGTCGAGGTGCTCCAAGGTCCATCCGCGCCAGACTCAGCCAGAGCCGGATTGATCCCCCGCAAGATGAATCACCTACTCAACCTGTAACATCCCCATCAGCCTCCAAATTGCGCAGTCCGACACCTAGGTTTGCGCGAGATACAAATGCCTCTAGGAATGCAAGGGAACAACGTATCGCATCCATGGCTATTAACTCGAAAGGCCGTGAACCGAATCCTCTTTCGACGTTCAACTCAAACTGGAAGTCCCAACCTATATCAAGGATTCCTCCGGCCTCTGCAACGATCAGAAGCCGGAAAGGTAAACCGAATGCCAACTCAACGTCCAAGCCGCACTTGATCAAACCCATGGGATCTGGGGTGCAGGATGCCAAATGTAAGCAACACCTCTGATTTCTATTTATCTGATTTACTCAGGCTCACTGTTAACCATTTTCAGCTGTGAGAGGTATGCGCTACAACCCTACCACTTTTCGGTGGGAAGGTAACGAAAATCTGATTCCGGAATTTGATCCCACTGTTCTCAAATCACCCAAACCTGCACCAGCTCTCATCGCCAACGTTGGTGCGATGCAAAATGTCCAGACCGTTGGTGGAATGGTCTTCGATCCACATCGTATGTGTTGGCTCAGGGCCGCACCTCTGGAAGCTGGTGCGGACGAGGACGACGTATTTGCCGGTCTTGACGACTTGGATGACAAAATTACCAGCACCATCAATGGACGAAATTCTGGAGCATTTGAGGACCAGCAATTCCCAGTAGTTGGGGACGATGCAAGTGCCGGTGAATCCTCTGATGAGGGGCCTATGACCGAGGAATTTGATGTCGGCCCAGAATTTATTCGACGACAGCGGGCCGAGGAAGACAAGTGGAGACGCAAGGTTGATAAATGGGTTGGATTCGATCGAGGCGACCAAGACCACAAGAATCAATGGAAATGGATCATCCGCGATTTAGTGGCCTTTGACCACCATCGAGGATCAGCATAGAAGCACAGATTTGACGTCTGCACTGTATCCACAGAGCTTCCCGGACAGGGGTCGCCTTCTTTTACCCGCATGTACATGTACTAACCCAAAGCCCCCCCTCCCCATACACGAACTTACGACTTGAAGACCCCCCCCCCCCATTGATTGGCCGTGATGATTCCGCCGATGTCATGAATTTCACGCTTCTCTCTTGTTTTTGGCTTTTTGGTTCTTTCCTTTTCTTTCTTTCCTTTTTTTTGTTGAGCATATCTGACCAAGGGGCAGGATGCTATGTAACTATATCTTTGTTTGAGTACATACAGTTTAATAAGTTTTTCTTTCGGGAGGCAATTGTCCTTTTTTAAACAGTCTATACTATATATATAGTATAGATAGTATGGTATATATCTTGTATATATTATTTCCGTATATAGGCAGAGTACTCCATATACCCAGTTAGAGAACTTCGGACTCGGACAGAAAAGTCCTGTTGAGAAAAACAAAAAAACACGATGATATCGGAAAGCAGCAGAGTAACACCAGATATGTTTTGGACTGTGCCTGCGAGGGTCCGAACCTTGAAAGTCCGATGTGTCTCACTTGTTTTTGCCAGCCAAACGTGCGTCATCCTGTCGTCCCGCCTTACTTCTTCCCCCCTGTACTTCATGTACTCTTCATGTACTTCCTATACTTCCTGTAACTTCACCATCTCTGATTTTTGCTTTTTGCTTTTCCTTTTTTTTTGTTCACCCTTGATACCCTGCAAAAGTCCCAAGACCTGGCTGTAAATGCCACGTCAAATCCCCCCAAAAAAAACTCACACGGATGCTCACTTGCATCTTTGCTTGAGAAGAGAAGAAAAGAAAAGAAATT